TTGTCATTATGTTTTGGGAATACTGTGTGACCATTAAGAATTTCGAACTGAAATCACTCTCTAGACCTCTAATCTCTGCCTTGTTGCTTCTGACTTAAATGTGTGATACCAAGTTACACTCCACCCATATCCACAGATTATCCAGTAATTATCATCTGATTCTAGATCTCTCTCTTTTTTTTTTTTTTTTTTTTGAGTTGGAGTCTCATTCCATCGCCCAGGGTGGAATGCAGTGGCATGCTCACGACCACCCTAGCGTTGACATGCTGGACTCCGGCAATCCTTCCACCTCAGCCTTCCAAGTAGTGGACAGATGCATGCTACGATGCCCAGCTAGTTTTTCAAAAAATTTACTGTCGAGACAAGGTCTCGCCAAGTTGCCCAGGCTGTTCTCAAACCTGTGGGCTCAGACAATCCCCTCACCGTGGCCACCAAAAGTACTGGGATTACAGGCTTGAGCCACCATGCCTGGCAATTTTTTTTTAAATTTGGAGTCTAACTCTGTTGTCCAGACTGGAGTGCAGTGGCACATTCATGGCTACCACAGCCTCAAACTTCTGGACTCAGGTGATCCTTCCACCTCAGTCTTTCAAGTAGCTGGAACTACAGGCATGTGCCACTACGCCTGGGTAATTTTTTTCTTTATTATAGAGACGTAGTCTCACCAAGATGCCCAGGCTAGTCTTGAACCCCTGGGCTCAGCCAATCCTCCTACCTCCACCTCTCAAAGTACTGGCATTACACTGTGTTCAGCAAATCTCATGTTTCTTAGTCAAGAAAAGTGATGGAAAATACTACTAAAATAAGTAATTTACATGTATTTTCTAGTTGAACACAGCATAGTAATTATTTCAGAGGCTATTATCTATCTTCCAAGTAGTGGACAGATGCATGCTACGATGCCCGGCTAGTTTTTCAAAAAATTTACTGTAGAGACAAGTACAGTACAGGTACTGTAAATTAGATACAAACCTGACTGAGACATAAAAACAGGTAGGAGAAGGTTAGCATACTCCGTGAAAGAAAAAGGGGAACAGAGCCCATTGTCATTTTGTTTTGGGAATACTGTGTGACCACTAAGAATTTCGAACCGAAATTTTCAAAAAATTTACTGTAGAGACAAGGTCTCGCCAAGTTGTCCAGGCTGTTCTCAAACCTCCACAGACAATCCCCTCACCTCTGCCACCAAAAGTACTGGGATTACAGGTTTGAGCCACCTATTTTGTCAAGAAAAGTGATGGAAAATACTACTAAAATAAGTGATTTATATGTATTTTCTAGTTGAACACAGCATAGTAATTATTTCAGAGGCTATTATCTATCTTCCAAGTAGGGGATTCCAGAACCTCATGGGGGAATATCAACATCTATAATTCAAAGTTTGTCCATTTTAGAAATTAGATTTTACCATATATTTTGATTCAAAATTTCTCCCAAGCATTGAAATATAACTAGGGCTATTCTTTATAGCTAAGAAAAAGCACCTGGTGGCTGCATCCTGTATGTATTTCCCTCTTTATTTTGCAATGCATTTTTAAATTAGTGTTAATATTGGATCATGGTTGGAGTAGAAGAAATATGATGGAAAGAAACTAGTTAGCAACTTTTGGCAGTATGAAGAGAAGCTTGCATCTAAAAAGCCAACAAACCTAAATTGGGGAACTTGTAATTTTATTATTCTGACTGTGGCTTTGCTGTCGGTAGTCACTTTGAGGACTACTTGTAGTTCACGTAAATCATACACATGGACTTGATTAGAAAGAAGAACGTTGTTGTTGCATTTCCTTCCGTTGCCAGCTTGCCCCTTCCATTCCATCCTTCACCAACACGTTCTAATCTCAGGTATTCCATGGAGCTTAAATCACAGAACTTGGGTGTCATCCTATGCTTACTTGGTATGCCCTCCAATATGGGTAGTAAGTTTTGTTTCTTCAGGTACTTTTAGGCTTAAGAAATCTCAAATTAATTGAAATAATTCACTTTACTCTTCCATAGCTCATTTTTTTGTCTAATGAGGGTTTCAATACATGTTAATACTGCAGCTCAAAATATTTTTGCTCATTAAATAGACACATGAATCTCTGATGTACCGCTGTTAAGAGTGATGCGGAATTCATTCAGACTCACTGGGGACCAGCGTCTACTGAACTACTTGACCACAACAAAGTTTCACATATAGTAGACTAAAACATTTTCATCAGCACACCTTTATATCCATATGTAATGTATACTTTCTTCCAATGGAAAAATGTTATTTATTTCAAGCTATTGATTTACAACTTTAAAGTCATTATACATTAGAGTTATAGACTGTCAGTATAACCATGGCTATATCATATACATGAAAGTGAATGATCTTGATATCTTAATGGGTTCCATTGAATCACACCAAACTCTACAAATAACACAAAGGAGGCCACATATAGACATGGGGAATGGCCCCAAGTTAGCCCCAGTGGTAAAGTTTGGAATGGGAACTTGACTTCAGGGGGCCCTAAACTTGATTTAATATTGCTTTTTCCCAAAGACAAATCTAGACAGGGCTCCTTTAGACTTTGCTAGTCCAGAGGTAAGTTTAGGTTTTAGGGGTCTTCCTTAGAAGACCCACTGATGAAGGACAGAGGAGAGAGGCAAGACACACATGATAGAGGTGGGATAGAGAGGACCATGCTGTCTTTCAGTCTGAGGTAAACACCAGAAATGATTGGCATGAGTCCTGAAACAATTACAACTAGACACTATCTGTGAATCCTATGACTGTGATTCCAGAATGACAAGCAGCTTAGTCCAGGGTACTTTTTTCTTCTCTACCTATGTCATCGATTACATCAAATGTCCAAATGGCACCCTTGCCAAGACATTAACAAAAAGTTCTTTTTTATTAGATTTGTCCCAGTAACCGTTACTCATTATAAATAGCTCAAGTATCATAAATGATTATTCCAACAAAATAAAAGAATGAAAACTAAGATGAAAGTCAGAGCAAGAGACTCCCAGTTACCACCCTTCAGGGTCTCCCTATCTCCTGATGTGGCTTCAAAGGCTCTCTCCATCCTGGTTTCCACCTCTCTTTGCTTCCTCTGCTACCAGCCACTTTTTACCACTTGCACTGGAGAACACAGCCTTGATCACTTGCGAATAACTCTTCACTTTTGGGCCTCTGAGCACCAACATGTGCTGTCCTCCCAATTTGTTCTGCCACTGTCACCTGGCTAACTCCTTCCTAGTCATTCTTCAAGCCTCAGGCCTGGTGTCACCATCTCTAGCTAGATTTTCCTAATATCTCCAGACTTGTGAAGCGTTGCCCACTCTGGGTTCCCATAACCCCTTGGGCATACTTCTGTTAGAGCTCTGGATACTTTTTTTTGGCAATCAAGTGCTTCCGCTATAGCCTCGAGCTCAAGGGCGGGCACCATGTTTGTAGGCATTAAGAACACCGGTGAGCACCTTGTTGGCACTTCATAAATATTAGCTGAATGGAAACACAAGCCTTTTACAGGAAAATTTGGTTTAAAATGTCACTGGAATAATCGTGTTCTGCATTCAGATGATGAGCTGATAGGTATTGTATGAGAGGATCTGAGGACAGCCCAATTCCGAAAAGGAGCACAGTGAACATCTAGAAACTGGGATGCCTTTCACTGAATATATTGCACTACCCAGGTCACTTTTTATTAAGTAGAGTAAAAAGGAGGAAACTGAAGAGGAAAACCATCCAAATTTTGTAAGCACAAACTCACCTATAAAAAAGTCCAAATTAAATGACCTTTTCTTTTGCTCTTTTTAAAAAATACATTATGGTAAAAATGTGCCCTCTTTCTCTCCCAATCTTGCTAAGGAAACAGAACCAAGATCATCAAATAGGCTTTTACTGAAATATGTGCTTATTTTGGCTAACATAGGTCTTTTAAGAAAATTAGCTGTTGTAAAAGTTTCCATGTTGTGTCTCAAAATAGAGAACTTTCGAGAAAAAAACACATTTGTAGAAGTGTTATTTTTGCAGTATAAGACTAAGGTTTACACACAGCAAACTGCCTGCAGTGAATTAGACACTTCATTTTCCACAAAAAGATTGGAAGAGTCTCCACACTGTCAGAGGCAAGATAGGCTCTTTTGAGTGTCACTATCACTACCAACTCAATTCAAAAAATGACGACGTGATGTTTATGGAAAAAAAAAACAAAAACACTTCTTGAAACCTCCCTGCTACATTTCTAGAAATGTCTAAAGCCCTTATTTTTATAAATAATAAAATGAACTGATAAAACACTGGGTATTTCAGATTCAAAAAGGAATCACAAAACTACAGCAATATGAACAACCTAGTATCAGTGTGTACTAGGAATACTTTGAAAAGTTGCTTCTTATAGAACAATGTTAGAAATATGTGACTTTATAGTCAAAACTCTATTCTTACTTTATCCATAATAAAAAGTCCCCAAAGCAAAGGAATGCTGTGTCTGGGTCTAGTCTGTAATTACTTTAAGTAACTTTTAAGTATTAACTAATAAAAATTTTCCCCTATGTTTTTGTCACATGAATTTCATTTTCTTGTCCTCTTCCTTCCAGCACAACAGCCAAATTTTTCAGGCTTCCAATCTACTTAACATCATGTACATTCTGGTTACCTCTGGTCCACAGATTTTTTCCTTCTCTAAATTTTTGTATTCAACATTAACAAGTGGTATCAACAGCCTTCTAATTTTTTATGTTGCTATACTGTTCATTTATAAGACCCTCTTGTCAGCTCTTTCTTAAGGATTCTAAAACATTTAATTTATATTTAAAAATGCTAATAGATAGGGTATCTGAATATAAATCCATAGTCCATTAAATATTGTCTTGTCGGCTCTTTTATCCCCACCAATAACTGACATATTTGATAAACATGGCTCAAGAGGTATTTAATGCCATGTACAAAAGCCACGTGAAACACAAGCTAGATCTTACCTCAGGACAGAGAATATGATATAACTTCATTCCACCTGGAATAGGCTTACCTTGTGTTTGGTTTCAGATTTTCTACTGTGGAGAAGGTTTGATTTGTAACTTGAATAGACTTGTCCTTCCCACTGAATGAGCCATTTTCTGTGGATATAACTTCATATTCTGAAAAGTGAAAAAAAGTCAACAGATACTTGTCTTTATCTTCTGGCTGATTGAATTGCTCTTGAAGCTAATAGCATAATAAAGTCACTCACAGAAAAGTGAGCAATTGAGATTGCAGTTCTAGAGTTGTATGGATCTTAAACATCAGCAATTTCCAGATGGGGATGGTCAGTAGTTGAAAAAGGCCTGGTAACTCCCGAGAGGCCTGGTAACTGGTGAAGATGACGCATCTGTGGTTGCTTTGGATGACATTTTTTTTTTTTTTTTTGAGTTGGAGTCTCACTCTGTCACCCAGACTGGAGTGCAGTGACTGCTCCCGACCACCACAGCCTCGACCCACTGGGCTCCGGTGATCCTTCTGCCTCAACCTTCCAAGTAGCTGGAACTACAAGCATGCGCTACCACACCCGGCTAATTTTTTTGATTTATTGTAGAGATGAGGTCTCGCTTGCCCAAGCGGGTCTCGAACTCGTGGGCTCAGGCAATCCACTCACCTCGGCCTCCCAAAGTGCTGGGATTACAGGCTGAGCCACCGAGCCTGGCCGACATTTCTTTTAAATGTCCTTTATTTTTATTTGCATTTTTAAATTTTAGATTCTAGGGAAATATGTGCAGGTTTGCATGATGGTGAGGTTTGGGCTTCTATTGAGCCCACCTCCCACGTGGTGAGCATGGTACTCAATGTGTGGTTTTTCAACTCTTACCCCCCCTTCCCGCCTTAGGAACCCCTGGTGTCTGTTATTCTCATCCCTATGCTCATGAGTATGCAGTGTTTAGCTCCCACTTACAAGTACGAACACATGGTATTCCGTTCTCTGTTTTGGTATTAATTCACTTAGATGGTGACCTTCAGCTACATCCATGTTGCTACAAAGGATACGATTTCGTTCTTTCTCGTGGCTGCATAACCTTTGATTTTGTTAGGTGAGTCTGATGGTCTGCACTGCTGGAAAGTCCCATTTGGGGAAAGCACGATATGAGGAGTGGTGCTAAGAGAAGCTGGGTGAGTAGAAGCCATGTTTCCTGCTCTATGGGCTGTACGACATAGTTGGGGAAAAGACCACTGAATACATGCTACTGCCAAGAAAACTTCTTTTGAGTTTAAAATCACAGCAGCAAATAACAGCTAACCATATAGTAAACTATACTTTCCTAGAGTTCACTATTTTGAACTGTAGGGTTAATGGGTCTTTGTACCCACTGCTTACGTAAGTTATGCTCCCTTGATAAATTTCCTTGTGTTAATAAAAAAGATCATGTCCTTAAAGCCTGCATAAATTTCAGTTAAAAGTATGTTTCTATGAACTTGCAGGACTCATCAAATGAGAAAAATATTCAGAATAAGAGAATACAATTTATACATTTGTTAATTGGTTTTCTTTGCTCTAAATTGGGATTTAAGCTAAATTGGGATTTAGCTTAACACATGTGATGAGATGACACAGAGGACTAAAAAACAACAAAAAAAGAACAACAGCAGCAAAATCCCGCTCAAAGTCAGCTCCATTAATGTGAAGAAACGCTCAAGTGCTGGGCATCAGATAAGGTGGGAAGGTCGCAAAAGAGCTGGCAAAGTCTTCTGGGGATTTCTGCTATTGGCATTGAGCCCAAAGGTTTGAGATGAATATTGGAAATAATCCCCAAACTACAATAACTCAAGCAGACCCTAAATCACCAATTTATATTTGGGGAGGATTTTTAATAGTATATTTTAAAAATCCAAAAAAGGATGATGACTTTTTCTGAACAATTTTGTTTGACCACACTTTCAAAAATATTAAACTGGAGGACAGTGGCTGTGGTATATGCATCCCATCAATGCAGCTATTAAAGGACTAATGACTGGTAATTCGTACCTTGGCTCAGATTCCTTTGTGATCCCAGCCTACCTCTCACCTGACTATTCTAACAGAGAGTGGAGAGTGGGGTGGTAGTGGGGATTCCCAATTCATATCGGTCTATTTTATATCTTTTTCTCAGCTGTGGAGAGATTTCTTAGAAAAAGATGGAAGTAATTAAAATGTGAGTAAAATGGAGTTTTTTAAGTTTTAATTTTAATTTTAGATTCAGGGTATACACATGTGTGTTCTATACATGGACATACTGTGTAGTGGTGGGGGTTGGGTCTCAGGCAGTCCATTTCCCAGGTAGTGAACATTGTACCCCATAGGTAGTTTCTGAACCCTAGTCCCTCCTTTCCCCCTTATTGGTGTCCCTGGTGTCTCTTATTTTAAAATGGAGTTTTTTAAGAAGTGAAAACCACAAGGTTTGAAGGAGATAGAAAAATCAAGACACTTGATTTGAACCCGGTCTCTGCCTTCCCTTCTGTAAAATGTCAATAATATCTCTTCATGGTGTTGCTTGTGGGGATTAAATTAGGAACATATGGAAAGTGCCTAATAGTATTTTGCTTAACAGGTAGTGGCTATTATTACTGCTACTTTTTTTTTTTTAATCATTCCTGAATTGTGTTCTGAAAATAAGATTACAAAAATGTAAGTTCCAAGTGGAAAGATTCAAATGCTGTTTAGTCACCAAAATAACAATTTATCTGACATTCCAGTTGGCTATGCACCAAAGCAACCACTTTCAAAAAATATCTTTGGCTTGGGACATTCCTCCTCAATTGTGCAAGTACAATATCCTTCTTAGTGTTAACCCAGCTTTTTGGTACTTGAAACACCTATTACACATCTTCTCTAAATTTCATTTGACTCTAGTTTTCAAAGTTGATTTAATAATATTTTTTCCTGGATAATTAGAGTTTTCAAAATAGACCTAGAATCTTCCTTTATAATTAAAAATACATTTAGGACTTCTCTGAATTCCAGCTTTTGAATATACATTTGACTTCATTTTTAATGCTTTTTTTTTTTTTTTTTTTTTTGAGTTGGAGTCTCACTCTGTCACCCAGACAGGAGTGCAGTGGCCGCTTCCGGCCACTGCAGCCTCGACCTGCTGGGCTCCAGCGATCCTTCTGCCTCAGCCTTCCAAGTAGCTGGAACTACAGGCGTGCGCTACCATGCCCAGCTAATTTTTTTGATTTATTGTAGAGATGAGGTCTTGCTGCCCAGGCGGGTCTGGAACCCGCGGGCTCAGGAAATCCACTCACCTCAGCCTCCCAAAGGCGCGGGATTACAGACTGAGCCACTGAGCCTGGCCATTTTTAATGCTTTAAAGTGCCAATGCCTTTTCATAAATCCGCCAACGTTAGAAAAATTGCTCCTATTATTGCTACTACTGACAAACATTCATTTAACAGTTTCTAATTTATGCTGCATATTCAAATTCCCTATTTAATGTTATCCTCAAGATAAATTAATAAATTAATAAAAATGGGTATGATTACAAATAAGGACACAAAGACTCACAAAGGCTAAATTATATATACCCAAGTTACACATCTGGAACACAGCCAATCTGGGATTTCAATCTATGTTGGCATACTCTTGGAATATCACACTGCAATAACTTATAACAAACTTAACTTTGAGTTGTCCTAGAACCAGTCTGAGGCCAATTTTTCAGGTGTGCCTATTTCTACCTCAGGTTAGAAGGGACAGGAAGCAAATGAATTTGGATGTGTTCGCTAGAGATGACTATATGACCGTCAAAGAAAGATTACTGATGGAAGTCAACTCAAGAGATGAAGATTATGGTTAACTCTTTTTGTTATGTCTCAATCCTTTCTTGCAAAACCAGTTTCAATGATATAAAAATGAATCTCTGTATTATCTGAGCTGCTGGTTGTAAATAATCACATTTGAAATCAAGTGGTGTTTAATGGAGTACTAAAAATAAATGCAATGGAAAAAATAGAACAGAGCATTAGGGTAAGTGGTCTCACATTTAAATATGGACTTGCTGAGCAATGGTTACATATGCATTTAATTCTATTTAGGAAATACTATAGCTAAAGTGTTCTTGCCTATGAAAATTGTTATCATAAAATGTTATATTTCATATAAAATATGTTATCTTATGAAAGATCTCAAGCAACCCACTAACATTTAATAACAACATTATGAAAGCAGCTTGGTTAGATGGGTACAGTATACTCTATCCATGTTTCTTTGAGATAAAAGATATATATATAAATCCTTCAGCTTTAAAAAGTTAAATCAGATACTGATATATCCAAGCGAATATGTGTTTGATGCATTAGATTAACCAAATCCAATTCACTGTCCACATGTCTAAAGCAAATGGCATTTTACATATCATTTGCTTTTATGACAGCTAATCCTCGGGCCATCACAGGAACTCTTTATTAGCATAGTATATGGATGGAGAGTTTTGGACATTTTAATACATTTTAATTGATTCAGTATAATCGATACTGAAAGGCTGATTGATTTTTAGATATTGGGAGGGTAATACCCATTGGCACAGTACCAAGGAAAGAAACAAGACTAGGCAAAACCCCAGAATCCACGGGCAGTGGTTGATTATTTCTCAAAACAAAGGCTAGTTTTGCATGAGACAGGGAAATTCACAAAACATGGTAAAGAAAGCAAGTGAAGCCAAGATCAGCTGCTTGCACTGGAAGTTGCCCAGATCAAAAAAGGTTGTCTGAGGAGAAATAGCTGCTGTTTTCCATGTGTAGTAGAAGGCATTTTTGGCAGATCCTGAATCTCCCTACTCTCCTCCTGGCCCAGTTTACTACTCCTCTCTCTCCTGACAGCCTCTTAGTTGGCCCCTCTGTTCCTATCTGCCTGCACCAGGTACACGGCAGGGCCCAGGGGGGATAGGACTCTCACATACTCACACTATTTGCTAAATCCTCTATGCGACTTGGCTTGTTGGTCTTTCTCCCTTCCTCTCTTGTTTGACTATTGCTATCTTCACACTGGAGAATTGTTATGTTAGTCACATAACAAATTCAAAGTATGACTCAGAGTTCCTTATTTCTCATAATCATTTTTAGAGAAACTGAGTGGGTGATCAACATTTTTTGAGATGACCAGAATGGAATTATTGTTTTTTATTTCCCCTAAGACCTTTGAAATAACTTTTAACCTTCTTGAAAGTTCTAGGTCAATTTAGAAATTGTTGGTAAAAGGAAAACTAGTTCAAATATCATCAAAATGGCAACTTCTCATATATTTTCTGGATTTCTCTTGGTGATGAAAAGACTAACTGAGTTTTCATGCCATGAAAAAGTTCTGAGAAGAGATGGATGGAAGGAAGCTTGAAGAGATCTACTAAATTAACAAGGACTCCACAACAAAGACAAAGATGATCTTTTTGCCATCCTGTGACACTTTGGACGACAATGTGCTGTGAGGACTTGCTGCTCCTCAGATATACTGTGCATGGCATAGTTGATCCAGGCTCCCCTACCCCCAATGCAACATGTTATCAAAGCTTCCCACTGTAGTCACAGTCCTCCTGCCATGATCTTACCAGTGACAGTGTCATTTTGTGGCTTTTCCCAATCCAAGATGACAAATGAGGGGCACCCTTCCACGGTGACCACAGTGAGGTTGGTGGGTGGATTCTGTGGTGGGCTGGTGGCATTCCCCTCTGTAGCCTCCTCTGTGGGGAACCGTCTGACCGAGTCAGTAATGGAGCAGGGACTGGTGTCAGGCTTTGGGATGTATCGCACGTGAGGACCTGCAAGAGAGAGGACCCTGATGGTTAATGTTTTTGAAACTTGTAAGAAGATGAGCATGACCTCATAAGTGTGAAATGTTTGAAGACGTTTGGTCTCATAAGCAGAGAGTTGAAAGCTGTGATGTGGTTGGTTAAAACTTGGTAAATCCAAAATCCTGCCTTTGAGATACATGATATATATAGTGATTGACTTACTACGTAGGTTTAGCTTAGTCTACTATCCAAAAGTAATTTGGTTCCCCTGAGCAAGGTTTAAATCTCATAATTGGTGGAGTTTTTGGTCTTACCTCGGTGGTGGGGAATAAATAGGCCTATACCAAACACAGTTCTGGTCTCATCTAATACATCTTAAAAGCTAGAATCAAAAGGATCAATTAGTTTCAAGGAATTTTACTGCACCCTAGAATAAAACTCAATAATGTTTTAGGAATGAAAAAATATCCAGTACTCAAAAGGTGATACTCACAGGAAAATATTACTTATAATATTTATACTTATAATAAGTATAAAGAAACAAATCAATAAAAAATAAAAGGATGAAAATAAAAGGTGACATTAATCAAAAGAAATCTTGACTGGATATATAGATGTCAACAAATTAGATTTCAGAGCAAAGAATATTACCAGAAACAAAAAGGTCATTTCATAATGATAAAGGATCAATTAATCAGGAATTTGTTATAATCCTAAATAATTTAGGTCTGTACTAGAATATAGACCTTTAAAATACATGAAGTAAAAACCAAGAGAACTGCAAGTAGATATAAATCCGTAATTATGGTCAGAGATATCAGAGATAGGATATCAATAAGGATACAGAAGAACTTTACAATATAGCCAAGCAACTTGATCTAATTGACATTTATAGAACATGTGCTATAGACTGAATTCTGTTTCTCTAAAATTCACATATTCAAGTCCTAATGTCCAGTGTAACTGTATTTGGAGACAGGGACTTAAAGAGGTGGCGGTTAAATGAGGACACAAGGGCAGAACCCTAATCCAATTGTACTGGTGTCCTTATAAGAAGAGGATGTGCATACACAGAAAAAAGGCCATATGGGGAGGCCATGAGAAGGCGGCCATCTGCAAGCCAAGGAAAGAGGTCTCAGGAGAAACCAAAGCTGCCCATCTCAGACTTCTTCCTTCCAGAACTGTGAGGAAATAAATAAATTTATATTATTTAAGCCACCAAGCCTGTGATATTTTGTTATGACAGCCCTAGCAAGTTAATTCAACACCCCATTTAAGAATAAGAGAATACAAATTATTTTCAAATACACACAAACATATACTAAGATAGACCATGTCTAGGCTCTAAAAAAGTCTCACCAAACTGAAAAGGATTCAATACAGAGTATCACATCACACTGGAGTTAAATTAGAAATCAATAACAGAATGATCTCTGGAAAATCCTCAAATATTTAGAAATTAAAGAACATACTTCAAAACACTCAATGGGTCAAAGAAGAAAATAAAAGGGAAATTAAAAGGAATTTTGACTAAAATAAAAATGAAGACAGATCCGGGCTCGGTGGCTCAGCCTGTAATTCCGCGCCTTTGGGAGACTGAGGTGAGTGGATTGCCTGAGCCCACGGGTTCGAGATCCACCTGGGCAGGCAAGACCTCATCTCTACAATAAATCAAAAAATCAGCCGAGTGTGGTAGCACGCGCCTGTAATTCTGGCTACTCGGAAGGCTGAGGCGGAAGGATCGCCGGAGCCCAGCAGGTCGAGGCTGTGGTGGCCGGGAGTGGCCACTGCACTCCAGTCTGGGCGACAGAGTGAGACTCCAACTCAAAAAAAAAAAAAAAAAAAAGCAACAACAAAAAAATGAAGACATAACATATAAAAAACTTGTGGATCTGCTTAAGTAATATCTAGGGGAAAATGTGTTTTTAATATGGTACTAAAGGCCATATTAAAAGAGAAGAAAGACCTTTGTTTCCATGGCACAATCAGTGACATGGAACTGTTGACCTAAAGAATGATGGTGGTTTGAGTCTACCCAGGGACTGAATACTTTGGTGCCATAATTTCTTTTAAAAAGAAGAGAGGTCTCAAATCAATGATCTCATTTTCTACCATAAGACATGAGAACTTAAAGAGCAAATTAAACCCAAATTAAGCTGTAGAAAGGAAGACCAAAGTAAAAATAAATAGAAAACAGAAAAAATAATAAAGAAAATCAGCAAAACAAAAAGTTGGCCTTTGCAAATCAAAAGAATTGATAAGCCAGCCATACTGACTAGACAACAGAAAAAAAATACATGAGAGTAATATCAGGAATGAGAGAGGTAACATCAATATAGATTCTGCAAATATTAAAATGAGAATAAGGTAATATCATAAACAACCTGATGTCAATAAATTTGACAACTTAGATGAACAGACTAATACCTGAAAAAACACAAACTACCAGATCTCACTAAGGAGAAAAAAAAAATGATAGCTTTATATCTTTAAAAGAAAGTGAATTTATATATAAAATCCTTCCCACAAGGAGAAAGTGAAGATCAGAGGGCTTTATTGGTATGTACTACTAAATGCTTAGGAAAGAAGCAATTTTAAACATACTCTTCCAGAAAATTGAAGAGGAGAGTTTAGCATAATTCTAATGCAAAAATTTGACTTAGACATTACAAAAAGACTACAGACCAAAATCCTTCATGAATACATTTCTAAACAAAACTTTGGTGAATTAAGTCCAACAATATATAAAATGGGAATGCATTATGACCAAGTGGGGTTTTTCCCTAGAATGCAAGGATAGTTTCAAAATTAAAAAATTAATTTATCATAATAAAAAACTAAAAAAGAAAACCTATATAATCATCTCTATAAGGGGACAAATCAGGTATAATCTAGCATCAATTTCTGATATAAATTCTCATTAAACTGGTAATATTATGGAAACTTTCTCAACATAATAAAGGCATTCTTGAAAAATCAACAGGAAACACAATACTTAATGGTGAAAGACTGAATGTTTTATCCATAAGATCAGAAATAAAAAATATTTTTTCCTCATAATTTCTATACAGTATTTTACTGAAGGCTCCAGTCAGTACAATAAGGCAAGAAAAAAATAAGGCACTGAGCTGGAAAGAAAGAAGTAAAACTTTATTCTAAGATAACACAATTCTGTGTGTAAAAATCCAGTATGTCTACAAAAAAGTGATTAGAACTAATGAGTTTTGAAAGGTTGCAGGATAAAATATCACTACAGAAATAAATTGTTTTTCTATATTTTAATAATGAGCAATTGGAAATTGAAATAAAAATACTACTTTTTTGGTTTTCTAAACATTGAAAACAAAACATTGGTGAAATAAATTAAAAAGGCCTAAATGGTAAGATATACCATGTTCATAGGCAAGAAGACTCAATATTGTTCAGCGTGAATTCTTCCCAATTGATCTGTAGATTCAATGCAATTTCAGTCAAAAGTCAAGCAATCTATTTTGTAGATAATGACAAAGCTGAATCCAAAATTCATATGGATATGGAAAAGATTCAAAATCACCAAAATAACTTTGAAAAAAATAAGAACAACGTTGGAAGACTAAAACAACCTGGTTGCAAGATTTATTTCCCTAGGAATTCAGGAAGTGTGAAGTGTGTGGTATTGGTATATAGGTAGATAAATAGACCAATGGAATAGCTTAGAAAGTCACAAAACATATCCACATATGTATGAATAACTGACTTTGACAGAGATACAAATGCATTTCAGTGGAGAAAGGGTGGTTTTTTCAACAAATGATGCTGAACAGCTGGTTATCCTTAAGAAAGAAGATGAAGGCATCTATACCTTGTATCATATATAAAATTTTACTCAATATGAATCATAAGCCAAATTGTAAAAGCATAAAAATTCTAGAAGGAAATCATAGAATAATCTTTGTGACCTCTGGTTTGTCAATGACTTCATAGACATGATGCCAAAAATATGGATATTAAAGAATAAGGGAATATTATGAACAACTTTATGCTAATAAATTTGACAACTTAGATAAAATGGACTAATACCTTGAAGGTAAACACTATCAAAGCTCACTAAGGAAGAAAAAATATTCTTATAGCCCTCTATGTACTAAAGAAAGTGAATTCTATAAAAAATTGATATTTTAGCTTCATTACACACTTGGGAAAATATTTGCAAAGTATATATCTAAAAAAGATCTTGTATCTAGGAAATATAAAATTCTCAAACTATAATAGTAAGTAAATAAGCAACTCCATTTTAAAAATGTGCACAAAAATTTGGACATACCAAAATAGATATATAGATGGCAAATAAGCACACGAAAAGATGTTCAACATCCTTAATCATTAGGGAAGCACAAATTAGAACCATAATCAGATACCACTCCACATCTATTAAAGTGGCTAAAATTAAAACAAACTGACCACACCAAACATTGGTGAGGATTTGGAGGAATTAGAACTCTTATCACTGCTAACAGAAAGGTAAAACAAAATAGTACAACCACTTCGGAAAACAGTTTGACAGTTTCTTAAAATGTTAAATATTTACTTATACATCACTTAGTCACCCCCTTTGTAGGTATTTGTCCAAAATAAATGAAAGCATACATTCATACGAAGTTTTGGGCATGAATAATCACAGAAGTTTTATTAGTAATGTGAAAAAAAATTGAAATAACTAAATGTCATGAAAAAGTTTAATAAAACAAATTATTGCACATCTATATAATAGAACACCAGTCATCAGTAAAAAGGAATGGGCTATTGGTACATGCAGTAACATGTATGAATCTCCAAACAATTATGTTGATAAAAGAAATTAGACAAGAAAAAATGAGTCTATACTGTGTGCTCTCATTTACATACAGTTCCGTGAAGTGTATACTAATCTATAGTATAGCAGATCTGTGGTCCCCTAGAATCTGGGGGCTAGGTGGGAGGAATGAGGAAAAGGGATTGCAGTGGTACATGATGAAACTTTTGGAAGTGATGCACATGTTCATTATTTTGATTATGATGATGGTCTCACAAGTGTACACACATGTTAACATTTATGAAATGTTACATTTCAGAAAAGATTATTAATTTCAAAAATAAATCGATGGGCTGCATATTATATTATATTATATTATTATTATATTATATCCTTTCTACTGTGAAAGATTATTGTTCAAACATATTATTTATGTCCATAGGAGGAGTATATACTTCCCCAATCTTTAATTTGAACTTAGCTATGTGACTTTTTTTTGACCAATGGATATTAGCAGACATGACACAAAAAGGAGCTTGGAATTTGGTTGTGTATTTGGGCATCCCTTTTATTGATTTTGTATTGTCACGAGAATGGTTTCTCTTGGGCCACTGTTGGTTCTTCATCTTGGGCATCAGAATGAACACATGCGGGGTGGACCTAAGCTCAACCCACAGGAGGCCCATCTGTACCTGCTGCTAGAAGCAGAACCACCTCCCAAGCACATCTGAGAACAGCTGAAACTTAGCTGACTTGCAGCTACATGAAGAAGAGGAAGTAGTACCTAGTAGAGGAAGCTACTAAGATTTTGTGGTTGTTTGCAATAGCTGACAGATACACACACCACAAAAAGTCTTGTCAAAATTGAATTCTGGCGCCAATTAACATACCTTTGAATCTGGGCTTCCCAAGATGATCGGTTTCTCTTGTTGGGCTTGAGCTAAAGTCAGTTATATTACCTGAGAATGGAAGATAATAAACAATTTCAACACAGGATAAAAAAGATTCACAAATCAAAACCATATTGAGAGACCACCTAACACCAGTAAGAATGGCCATCATTAATAAAACCGGCTACTCAGAAGGCTGAGGCGGAAGGATTGCCGGATCCCACCGCAGCCAAGGCTGCGGTGGCCGGGAGCGGCCACTGCACTCCAGTCTGGGCGACCGAGTGAGACTCCAACTCAAAAAAATAAATAAATAAAAAATAAAAAAAAATAAAACAAACAACAACAGATGCTGGCGAGGATGCAGAGAAAAAGGAACACTTCTACACTGTTGGTGGGAATGCAAACTAGTGAAACCTCTTTGGAAGACAGTTGGCTATTTCTGAAAGAACTAGAAACTGACCTTTCATATGACCCAGCAATTCCCTTACTGGGAATATACCCAGAGGAACTCAAATCATTCTGCAAAAAAGATACCTGCACACACGTTTTTTGCAGCTCTATTCACGATAGCAAAAAACATGGAACCAACCATGCTACCCATGGAAGTTGAACTGGATAAAAAAAAAGTGGTACATATATACAATGGAATATTATGCAACCATAAAGAAGGACAAATGTATGGACTTCGCAGCAACTTGGATGGATTTAAAGTCAATCATACTCAGTGATCTATCACAGAAACAAAGAACAGAGTACCATATGTTCTCACTCATAAGTGGACCTTGAACAATTATCATAATACTATAAGAAAGGGATTGGCAATAGTGGGAAACTGCCAGGGGAAAGGGAGGTGGGATTGGCAGTTGAGGGAAACGACCAGGGGAGGGAGGGAGGGGAACACCTCAACAACAAGGGCACCTGGATAATGAACATTTGTATACCTAACCCCAAATTCTACCCTACATCTTTAAAAAAATTTAAAAAATTAAAAAAAAACCCAAACAAAAAGGCAGTAATGATGAAAGCTATTTAATACTCTTTATAGTAAGTTCACAATAAAAGGCCTTCAATTGTGTCCTGCTGCAAGGTGTTCTGGGGTGTAATAAAGAATTAAAAATTGCAACTAAATGGTTAATACTCAATAAACTAAGATATGTGTAGTTAGAAAGAAGTGATTTAGTAGTGAGGATTAGGTAGTCCAGATCCTTTTAAGAACCAAACATACTTTATAAGGAAGAACTGTAAATAAATTTATTTTAAAATTTACAAAGACCCATATTGATAATTCTGATTAATTTCATTTCCCATTAAATGAAGGTTATTGAAAATACTCTTGGATTAGCCATTATTGTTGAAACACTTTAAGAAATGCATGATTCCACCTTTCTAATTTGAGTAATGTCTCTTTAATCACGTGGGAACCTTCAGTGTGAGGCACATAATAGGCATTCAAGAGTGATGGTTAACTAAGTGATTGAATATGTTAGTTGCCCAAGCTCTTTTGTAAACAATGATTTGTGTAACTAGTGCTTTGAATAAAGTAGTGAAATAGAAAAAATAAATAAAAAAACCAAAAAGACCCATCTCTGAATAAAATATAAGAACCCGCAGCTGGGCTCGGTGGCTCAGCCTGTAATCCGCGCTTTGGGAGGCTGAGATGAGTGGATTGCCTGAGCCCGCGGGTTCGAGACCCGCCTGGGCAGCGAGACCTCATCTCTACAATAAATCAAAAAATCAGCTGGGCGTGGTAGCGTGCGCCTGTAATTCCGGCTACTTGGAAGGCTGAGGCGGAAGGATCGCCGGAGCCCAGCAGGCGAGGCTGCAGTGGCCGGGAGCGGCCACTTCACTCCAGTCTGGGGGACAGAGTGAGACTCCAACTCAAAAAAAAAAAAAAGAACCCAAACTGAGACTTTTCCTCCTTAATATGAAATCTTTTAGCACCTCGTAGCTAAGTATGCAGTGAGAACTGACTGTCATACTAACCCAGTTCTTCTTCAGAGGCAGGAGCTGTTGGCTGCTTTGTATCTGTCTCTGTTTCCTCCAAGGGAGCTCCAGTAGGTCTAAGTGTTGACCTCAGGGGTGGGGAAGTTATTGGGCCTGATGAAATGACTCCTGTAATGTGGAACCAAAGTGGTCAGATTTTATAGGGACACTGCCAAGTTTCCCATTCATGTATCCAACAAAGTTTCTATAGACTTTTAACTGTGAACCTCCTTAAAGGTGCCATAAAACTCCATAAATGAGCCGATCAGATGAGTCTTGGTCCAGCCCTCAGGGACTCATGCTCCTGACCCCAGTGGGGTGGGCCACAATAAGAGGGTGAGTGACAACCAAGAGAAGTTCACTGCAGCCCATGTGAGCTTTTCAGAGTTGGCAGGGTCAGCAGGAAGATTCCTAGAACACTTACCATGTTGCTTGGCACTACAGGCCAGCCTTGGAGAGAAAAGAAGACCTGGTCCTCGACGGAGACAGATGTGGGAGCCAAGTATATCAAAGAATTATAGATACTGTGAAAGAACTAGAGAAGGTCACAGAAGGGGCAAGGAGGAGGAATGGTCATGTCTGTAGGGCAAGATGGAGGGTTGTTGGGTTGAAAGGGTAGGAATGCCTTCACAGAAGATGTGCCAATAAAGAGGATAAGTGACCCAACAGGTAGGGATGAAAGCTGTATTCTAGCCAGAGGTGGCAGCAAGAACCATGTCAGGAAAGCATGAAATGGCTTGGTGTGTTTTATTTGAAGGGGTGAGGGCAGAGAGGGTGCAGTAAGATCTGAGAGTGGAGGGGCAGGGAAGGGTAGATCAAGAGAGAACTTTCATAGCGTGGGTTTGGATGTTATTTTAAGGGACGAAGGTGGTTACGTAGGTAAGGGAAGAGGGGGTGAGATGCAGCAGAGGAAGTGGGAAGGGTTGGAAGGGCGGGACATGAGAGCGGTTGAGGCGATTCACTGGCAGGCATGGGAGGTAGCTGGAGGAGGAGGATAAAGATTCCTGGCCTGATGTCCATGGTTCTGGCCTGGTGGCCAGTATGGTATCACCCTGAGGTGCTATATTCAGCAGTGACTCATCCACCCTAAAAACACAAATCTGTAAAACTGGATCCATCTCAAGGTCCAGGCACGTCTGGGGCTTAGAGAAGAAATCTAGGTTGGATTTTATGTTCCTCCTGGGAGGAGAAGTCATTCTTGGGCAATAGCGTCAAGGGGTAACAAGCCCTTCCGAAGGAATGGAGCCCAGAATGGAATCACGAGTCAGTCAGATGGGCCTCTGGTCCAGCCCCCAGGGACCCTAGTGGGGTAGGTCACCATAAGAGGATATGCAAAAACCAAGAGGCCACAAGAGCATTTCAGAGTTGGCAGAGTCAGCAGGGAATGCAGGCATAGCATTTTCACCCTGGCAAGGAGAGTGGGCCTCACAGGCCTCAGCAGATCTGGAGACAGGGGATAAGTGGTAGATGCCACAGGCACATCATGTGAGAGCATCTCAGAGGAATCATGGACATTTTACTGGAATTCAGGATTCACTTTCTGTGGTGTTCATATCAGGCCCAATCTGTATAGCTGCCCTTGTTTATTGTGTGGCTCCTGAATGCAGCCATTTTCCTAGAGTTGGAGGTGGATGGTAGGGGTGAGGGGTGGGGAGCAGGGACCAGAGTTCACATCAGAAGTAGAATGTGTTTATGGTTCTTCTTCAGGCTAGCTGGGCTGTACCAGAGCTACATATACTCACAGAAGGGAACAAGGATTTACATGGCAGGAACCAAGGCTATTAAACTACAGTTGAAGACATGGCCTGCAGGGGTCTCCTGAGTTTCCCACAGGCACACTGGCACTGAGCTGTGACTTACCCAGTCTGACCTGTAGGCTGCTGGAGCTCAAGTCTCATCTATCTCAGGTTGCAATTAATAGGGAAACCTAGTTCCCTTGCAAGCCCGTGCCACTGAGCTTGACTCAGAAAGGCACCAGGGGCACAGATGAGAGGCTGCTTCCTCCTCCAGTCATGGGGAAGTAATTTAGAGTTCAATGTGCACATGAGACATCACAACAGATCCATCACCACATCCTCCCTTCATCCTGTGAAAAGTGGCATCCACTCCCTTTCACATAATCCTCATCAGTTTCATCTTTCACAGCTGCCTTTAACACTTTTAGCTTGATTCTATCTATACAATATATAGAAGTAGAGATTTTAGGAAGGTAGAAAAGAGGGGGAACATGCTGTGATTTGCTGGCAGATGCTGGGGGAAGAGACTGAAATAGAAATGAAGCAAAACTTCATTCTGAACTGGGTCGACTTTCATTGATTCTTAATTTCATTCATTTATTCATTAGGTAATTACTTATCAAATATCCTATATATACTAAGCACTGGATTTAGTTCTGGAAATTCAGAGAAGTTGTACCAAGGACTCTGTCATCCCAGAGCTGACAGTTTAGTTGGGTAAGACAAGTATGAAAGCAATTTGTTCTTTGCTCTAACAGAGGTTTATGTCACGGACACGTAGGGAAGCAATGCTAAGACTGCTTTGGGAAGTTAGGGAAGGTTTCTTTAAGAAAAGGGTGAAGTATGAGTATCTCAGGCCTGGGAGGGGTCATTCTACGGGGAAAACAACACATGCCCAGGTGAGAGGTAGCTTGCCTTCTAAACATATTCTTGCCTCATTGCACTGGCTAGGCCAGCTCCATCACTCTGAATACTTCAGTCCCAAAACTTTCCCTGAGCACCATAGTACTAGGGCTGGCATGAAGGCTGGTGGATAGGGGGCTTTTGGTGAGTTTATAGTATTCCATTTCAGAATACTAAATTGATGACAGGGCATCAAATTTTTATATTTCCTCTGGGGACCTGGCAATGTACAGCATCTTGTCCAAGAGAATCCCCTTGTTGAAGGGCCTGAGTTAGTTTCAGTCTAGGTTCCAAGCATGCAGACATCTAAGAAGTAAATTGGCCTAGATGCAGAAGGATGATTTCTTTCACCCCACTAGGCTAAGAGTCAGGTTGTGAAGTCTCAAAGCTGTAATTTACAGTATCTTGTCTTTGGGCCAACACAAGTGTGTGTCACACACACACACACACACACACACACACACACACACACACACACCAGTGCCTTGTTCATCGCCTGGGCTAGCACACCCAGAAGAGCTTGTGGCTGACTAGTAAAATTGAAGTCATGGAGGGAGAAGGAAGGTACGTGACTAACATACCTGCACTTCCTGGCTTTCCAGTGACATTATTTGGTGGTAAAGGTTTTCTTCGTGAGGGTGTAGGTCTGGGTGGCAAGGGTGGACGGCGAGTGCCTGTGGATAAAAGATATTGTTACAGATAAAGTCATCATAAGGATCCACTCGCAAAACATAATAGATATTTTTGTTTAATCAAAAGTATCTGACAACAGTTGGATGACAGAGAATAGATTCAACAGAAAAGTGCATATAAGTAATATATACTGATATTCCTGTAAATTAATGTTGGCAACATAACCGGGAAGAACAAGGCACATCAGTATATGAAAACACACATCCTCTAAGTATAGGTGAAAATACAGCTGGAATATCCACAGGTTCCTCATCAGTGGATTCAAACAATAGCAGATGGAAGACACAGCAAGTCCCCTACATACAAGTGAGTTCTGTTCTGAGAGCGCATTTGCAAGTCCAATTTGTTTGTAAGTTCAACAAAGTTAGCCTAGATCCCCAACTAACACACTTGGCCATATAGCACTGTACTGTAATAGGTTTATAATATTTTCACACAAATAATACATTAAAACAAACACAAAAAACAAAACATTTTTACTCTTATCTTGAAAAGTACAGCAGTACCATACAGTACAACAGCTGGCATACAGGGGCTGGCATGGAGTGAACAGGCAAGAAGAGTTACTGACGGGAAGTGGGAGATGGTAGAGCGGAGTCGAAGGATGGTCGGCAACAGGCGACGGAGGACAAGCTGCAATGTCACTCATGCCTGACGCTGATGGCACGGGTCCTGGTTCCTTGCTGGAGTCAATTCTATCTACCCTCTTGGAAAAAACAATTCAGTGATGTCTGGGTGGTAGCTCTTTTTTTCTCAGCATAGGCAACACGGTGGCACTGGATTGCCTTCTGAATGGCTGCAGCAACCTCCATGTATCATTCTACCTTTGGGTCCTGTGCCTCAAAAACTAATAGTGCCTCTTCAACTAATGAAAATCCCCATGCCATTTCCTGTGTTGTGAGTCTCTTCAGTTTTTCAGTTACTTCTTCTTCCTCTTGTCTCTTCTTCATCTTTTCTCTGGGCCTCCACTTCCATCAGGTCTTCATTAGTAAGCTCACCGTGTTGCGCAGCAAGGAGTTCAGTGAGGTTGTCCTCTTGTAGATCGAGATCCAGCTTCCCACTGAGTGCCTCTAAGTTGCTGAAGACCTCTTTGGGCTCCTCATCCACTTTCTCAAATCCTCAAAAATTGTGAACAAACTGCAGGCAAAGGTTCTTCCAAACCCCATTCACAGTGATAGTGCATAACCTCACACCAAACAAAGTCAATGGTTTTTATGGCCTTCCCTAGATGTCATAGTCCTTCCAGAATTGTTCCTGATTTGTCACTGGTCTTTACTGTCTGATGAAAAGTGCAATGTAAATTATATTTCTTGAAATGTGCTATATCTCCCTGGTCCATAGGTTGGATGAACGACACAGTATTTGGTGGCAGATGCACATTACTTTGACATTGGGATAAAATTTGTCCACAAATGAAGTGTGGTTGGGAGCATGGTTGACCAGCAAATGAGGTTGAATGTGATATCCTTTTCCAAGTAGTATTTCTCTTCCTCTGGGATAAAGTGTTGGAAAAACCATTCCTGGAAAACGGCCTGTGTAACCCAGGCTTTAGGGTTACTCTTCTACACAACAAGAAGAGCTCTCTTAGCTATGTTTAAGAGAGGCTTCGGCTTCATATCACAAGAAGCATTGCCACCAAACAATAGAGTTGGCTTGCTTTTTGTTGCTTTGGCACATGGCATTAACTTTTCCTCCTTACTGATGTAACTTTGGTCTGGCATCCTCTTCTAGTACAGTCCTGTCTCATCTACATTAAAAACCTGCTCAGGTAAATATACGCCGTCATCAATGATTTTTCAAAGCATTTCAGGAAATTCCTGGGCAGCTACCCTATCTGCACTCACTGCCTTGCTACTTGCTTTTATGTTGTGAAGGTTGGCCCCAGCCTTGAACCAGTGAAAACTAGCCATGGCTGGCTTTAAAAGATGTACCCTCTGATTCTTTACCATAGTTCTTTTTCAAGTTTTCATAAAGCCTTTCAGTTTTCTCTTGAATCAGTATTAAGCTGAGCGGGATTTGACACTGATTCTGATTCTGCATCCACACTGAGAAGTGTCTCCATCTCCTCCATCACTCTTCCATGCTTCTTCAATATTATTATCGACATCATCGGCACAGCAGATTTTATATGTTCTATGACCTTGTCCTTGTTCTTAAGAATCATGCCGATGGTTGAATCATGCTGATGGTTGAACGATTCATGTTGTAAGAACAAGCAACATCTACCATCTTTTTGCCTCACTCCACTCTCTCAATTATTTTTACTTTGTTTCCATCCTTATTGCTTGGTGCTTCTTAGCAGTACCAGTTACATCACTGCTAAATTTACACTTGCTTCTGGACATCTTGGGCTTGAAATAATGATACTGTGCTACTGTACACTATACAGTACCGTACAGTAAAGTACGCAAAAGCACAACCACTTGTAGAAGATGCACGCACATGACAGTGTATGTCAGATACACAAACTAACTTACATAATTGGACATGAGGACACACGTTTGCATCTTTGAAAGCTTGCAGTTTGAAAGTTTGTATATAAGGGACTTACCATATACAAAAAAACCCAGTAAAAATAACAATGTAGCAATAAACACAAAAATACAGTATGACAACTATTTGCATAGTACTTATATTGCATTAGGTATAATAAGTGATCTGGAAAGGATTTAAAGTATACACAAGGATGTGCATAAGTTATATGCAAATACTGTACTATTTTATATCAGAGACTTGAGCATACTCAGATTTTAGTATCTGGGGAGAGTACTGAAACCAATACCCTGCAATACTGAGAGAAAACTATATACAGTTATAGCTGCCTCTTGAAAGACTGTATAGGTCTATATGGATTTAACAGTAGCATGTCTTTATTTTAGTTTTTTTATTTTTGAGTTGAGGTCTCACTCTGTCACTCAGGCTGGAGTGCAGTGGCACATTCATGGCTATTGCAGTCTCAACCTGCTGTGCTCAAGCAATCTCTTCACCTCAGCCTTCCAAGTAGCTGGAAATACAGGCATGTGCCACCACACCTGGTTAATTTTTTGATTATTGTAGAGATGAGGTCTCACCAGGTTGCCCAGGCTGGCCTCGAACCCCTGGGCTCAGGCAGTCCTCTTGCCTCTGCCTCCCAAAGTGCTGGGATTACAGGTGTGAGCCACCACACCTGGCCAATGATAGCATTTCTAAACTTCATTATTCCCAATTTCCTTTTGAGACTACAGTTTCTGCCACCATTTTAGCTTTAAATTGTTAAAGCATAAATTTCTCTTTTTGTGGTGTTTCCCTCCAACCCCAACTGTGTTATGGAATCATAATTAAATTAAACACCTTTAGAACTTCTCAAATGACTACATCAAAGTAATCCTGATAGAAGAAACAACAAACATGTGGCTGAGGCCAGCAGGGTCACTATAAGCAATTGTGGCAGTTGTGTACTGCACAAGAACCCCTGGCCGGGGAGATGAAGTGGGAGCCAAAGCTTAGCACTCACTCTGCTCCTCCCCCATGAACTCTGGTGCAAGGCTGCCAGTCCAGAGGAAGGGCATGGTTTCTAACTGGTCAGCTTAGAGGAGAGGGCAGAGAGGCACCTTTTTATAATTTGCACAAAGGTTAAGCCACATTTTTTTCTAAGCCTGTGTTATAGCTTAAAATGTATCACATTCTTTGTGTATGTTGGTTTGAAAATCTACAAGTAAAATTGCCAATCCAGGAAAGTGCCCTGCAGATTTAAGTAAAATATATCCTGGGGTACTAGGAAGAGGGAGAGGAGAAGAGTGAGGGTGAGAGGGAGAAGGGGAGAGAGAGGGAGAGGGAAGAGTAGAGGGGAAGAGGAAGAGGGAGAGGGGGACAGAGAGAAGGAGAGGGAATAAGATGCATTCTCTGCAGAGCAGGGGCAATGGTGGTTTTGTGCTGAGATGTTTTAATAGACTCTACTGTCTGAAATTTTTTTTTTAATCAATATTTTTTATTATGATGTTGTGGGGTACAGTTAAGGGTTAGGTATACAATTACGTTTCATTCAGGTACCCTGTTGACAAGAGGTGTTTCCCCATCCCCAGACAGATATTTGCTACTGTTAATCCCATCTCCCCCCCCATAGTTTCCCAGTACCATCAATCATTTTCTTATAGTATTACATTGGATGTTCAAGGTCCATTATATGAGTGAGAACATGTGATACTCGGATCTTTGTTTCTGTGAGAGGTCACTCAGTATTATAGACTCTACTTCCATCCAGGTTGCTGCGAAATTCATGATTTTGTTCTTTTTTATGGCTGCATAGTATTCCATCGTGTATATGTACCACATTTTTAAAATCCAGTCCTCTTTTGATGGGCAGCATGGTTGCTTTCAGGTTCTTGCTATTGTGAACAATGCTGTGATAAACATACGTGTGCAGGTATCTTTTTTAGAGTGATTTGAGATGTTTTAATAGAGAAGTTCTACCATCTGGTTAGCAAAAGTTCAAAACTCTACGGAGAGGGAGAGAGGGCGATGGGAAGGAAAAGGAAGGAGAGGAAGGGAGAGGGAGGGAGAGAAGGAGGGAATGGGAGGAGAAGGAGTGAGAAGAAGGGAGAGGGAGGAAAAGGAGCACTGTGTGTGTGTGTGTGTGTGTGTGTGTGTGTGTGTGTATGTGTGTGTGCAGGCACACATGAACATGTACACACACACGTATGTGTTTAGGGGAGTAGGTGGTAGTTAAGACATGCGTATGCCAGAGTAAGTCTCACAGTATCCTTTTAAAAAGCAAAGAGTCCTTATCCAGTACAAAGACATTCTGAGTCACCAGTTGCATGCTTTTGGCCTATGATAGAAAGCATACTCTTCAATCAGGGACACAAATAATTTCAGGCAAAAGGACATTGTAATATATCACGCTAGAGCAAAACTTAAGCACGATAAAAACTAGAACCCACGGCGATTCTTCAGCATTTGTCCATCATGGCCTCTTAGAGCATTACAGAAAGCAATTATTAAATTGGCACCCACTGGAGGTTCTTGTGAATATTTAATCTGTGCACAGAGCACTTTTTATGCCTCTAAAGACAGTATTTCAAATGTTGTGCTTGGAATATCCATGCACTATTTGTATGGTTCTGACACGTTGGGAGCTGTGTGGATGTTGCTATTTTTACCACAGTTATCATCCAAGTTTCAGAGCTGAGCTGCCGTCTTAGTCCTTACCTGGCTTTTTAGTGAGGTGGCTGGAGTCCACTGACACGTTTCTCCCAACACTTATTGGCTTGGGTGGTTTCTTGACCCCTATTAACAGAGATAATGAAAGGGAATAAATATATTGCAAACGTGCCAAACGTTCTTCATGGAAACGAAGTAGAGTTCTCAGGAATAATACGCATTCTTTGCAGAGCAGGGGCATTGGTGTTTTTGTGCTGAGACATCTTAATAGACTCTACTGGTTAGAGAAGTTCTACTATCTGGTTAGAAAAAGTTCAAAACTCTACCTTCACTGGTTGTGATATTTCCTCTGTAGAATTAACATTTGATAGTGAATGGTAGGTTTGTCCCAATTTTTCACAACACCCATCCTGTATTGCCTTTCTGGGTGATATGACCTCATCAAGTGGAATTTCATCAATGGTGATCAGTCACCTTGGACTAATATTCACTGGCGTATCTTTTGGCTTAAAAAAATTTCCCCCAACCCTTCCATGCCCCCCCCCAACCCCTAGAATTTCAATGTGTGGGGGTTAATACTTAATGAATTGACTTTAAATCTTCCTGGGAAGTATCAGGCTATGTAGGCCACAAATAATCTTTTGGGATTTGTAAATTAGCCCCGGGCTTGCCTAGAGCTCTAAATTATTGTTTGGGAGAAACTGATCTGAAAATTACTTTGTGTGATATTTTGTGTCCCATGTCCCCCAAACAATCTGGTGGTTATTTCTCAGCCATTCACCTAAATTCCCAGGCTTTAATTGTGAGTAGCTATTCTAGGGCAAGAGAAACCAATTAGGTTTTGTTCTATTTTTTAAATTATTATTCTTTTATATTATAAAATAATCTTTCCTGATGTGACTAACCGTCTTTAGTAAAAAAAAAAAAAGAAAAAGAATAGAAATAGACATTTTTAGAATTTGAATAGTAAAAATCACTTTAAACATAATGACTTGTCCTAAAAAGAATCCTAAAAATAAGAATGAAATGTTTCATGAATATACTAGTGAATACATTAAAAATGACAACCACAATAACAACAATAGTGACAACAACCATGTTTTGTGGGTTCCCTGTGTTCCGGGACCTGTGTAGGGACATGACATACTCAATCTCATTTAATATATGGGCAGATATATTAATTAAATATACAACAAAAGCTTCCCTTACCAAAAATTAGATACATTTTCACATTAATTTATGAAACTTAGGGAGATGAACTTAATATTGCCATCCCACACCCTATGCTACTTGAGTAAGAGATGATATAAAAAACCACAGAGAATGTTTATATGGATTAAAGAATTAAAAGTTGCTTATTTGTGGTAGGGAAAAAATGTTTCTGGGGGCAATGACTATTTTGTGGCTAATCCCCCAGGCATGGCACAAATGGCTCATTAGTCTTCTTCCTGTGTCACACTATCAGTGGTAATGGGGCCAGGGAAATGGCTCATTTTGAGGTTACTCTGTAAATGCATTAGGGAATGGAAAATACTTCCACTTGTGCCTCTGGGATAATTTGGCTTGGTGAGGTCTGACATACTTGAAGTATCTCAAGGTTTAAAAAAAAGCATTTATATTCTCTCAAAAGCTAGTAGGCTATGTATCTTGAGTAGATCCTTCCTCAACCCTTCTCTAAATCTTTCTGCCCCTGAAAAACAAAGTATATCTGTTACCTGATTTGATTCTTACAACCCTTCTGTGTGGGAGATAGTATACATGTACCTCAGATGAAGAAACCCCAGGTAAGGGGAGATTAAATAACTGACCCAAGGTCTCACAGTTAGAAAGTGTTGGGATTCAGGCCTACATAAGCCCAGAACCAAAGCCTATCTCTTAAGCACTAAGTGACAGAGCATGGAGTACTTATTGTCTTCCTCTGACCTGATCATTTTCTTCCTTCTTTTTCTCACAGAGTGGAGTAATAATAACTATCTATTCATATAGGTATGAAATACACATATACCAGATAATATACCTTGTTATGATATTATAAGAAATAAAGCACTAGACTCAAGAGATTGCTGAGTCTTATGAAATCACTACAAGATTTTTATAGATGCCTCAGTCATCAAAAGTGTATAGTTTTGAGACCTCAGAAACTTTTTTGTTAGTCTTCCAAGGTCAAAGCCTTAGGTGGCCTAAGACCATAAAGAATCTATAGTCCTAGAACCCTAGAATCTGTCTCTTGGGTGGGTTGTGCTGCCACCAGGGTGTGAGGACTAAATCGTCATGGTTGGCAAGTATGTGTCATCCAGCCACACGGCTAATATGCAGGACTCAAAAAAAGTCCAATGCTGACAGCAGTTTCTGACCAGGCATAGGCGGATCCACCAAGCCACAGGGGTGAATGTCCTAAGGTGCTGGTGAGTTAGAAATCTAGAAGCCCTGAGCAGAATGCAAAATTCTGTGGGCCTACTTTATATATAAGACCAAAGATACAAATCCCCTAAACCTCTTTTCTAACCAATGAAGGAAGTAGACACTTTCTGTCACTTACTGTTATAATCCTTAGATATAAGTACCCAAAGCAATAGAGCATCAGCTACTAAACTGGACTTTCTCCAGCCTTTGGAAATGGGTAGAAGCCAGTGGTGTCTGAAAGCACTGGGAAGCGCCCTGCAAAAGGCAACTATGGGGCTCAGTGGGAAGAGCTGGGGACAGGAGACCGAACTCTAGAACTGGCCTTGCCTCTCCTACAGCTAGCTTCAGTTCAGGCATGTCACCCGGCCCAGAACCAGAGAGACCAGTGAACATCTGTCACCCTGAGTCAGAGGAGAGCAAATGAAGGTCAAAGGTAGCAGAGAGGCAATGGGAAGAGAAAGAAGGAAACCAGTAAGAGAGATACTGTAGAGAATGAATCCTCAGGAATTGGCACCAGTCAGACAGTCTGGCCCAGGCTGTGACCTGAATTCTTTTTCCCTCAGGCAGGATTGATCAACACATCATCTAAAGGGCAGAGTCAGCTCTGTAAGCACTAAGACTTGAGCCTCAGAATGAGGTTCATATGAGAGTTCTCCAAAAATCTCTAGATTTACACAATTCATCTCATAGCAATTTATCATCTCAAATGAAGTAACAATTTGGATATTTTTAACCATGGTAACAAAATCTTTGCAAACAGAGTAAACTGGAAACCCATTTTTAAATGTATCAGTGACTCCATTCCCTGCGAACAAAAAGGGGTGATATTTATGGATGATTGGCCTCTGCACCTCTGTCCCCAAGTCTTAGCACCTGGCTAAAAAGTCAGGGGCAAGGGGCCAGCAGACTGGAAGATTTAGTCACAGCCCAGAAAAACACATTCCTCTGCCTGAAGTCTGGGTTCTTGTTGTGAAGTACACTCACATGGGGCAGTAAACTGTGGTTTCCTCATTAGGACAGAGAAAGGAATCTGGGGTCCAGGTATTTAACAATATCTGCCAAACCACATGTGCCAAGGTGGTTTCAGAATTACATGTTGCCTGGCACATAATGAGCTCAATAAATTCGGTTAAATGAAAGAATAGCTGTACAGCTTTCTTCTTCAGGGAGAAAGTCAGAGAGATTGTCCAGCACAGGAATAGGCAAACTTTTTCTGTTAAACAGTAAATATTTTCAATGTTGTGGGTCATATTGTTTCTGTCACAACTATTCAACTCTGCCATTGTGCTGTGAGAGCAACCTGTGTTATAATAAAACTTTATTGACAAAAAGAGGCCGTGAGTCAAATCTGGCCTGTGGGGCTATAGTTTGCCTAATCCCTGGACTAGAGCATGCATGGCTTGAAGCATCCCTGTAGGCAGGTCTCAAGGAGATCCTAATATGTATGACATACCAGCTAAGCTGAGACACATCTCTCTAGAAATCTTGAAATAGCAGAATGCTAGAAAAATGACCCACCTAAAATCTTAACCCCTGCAGGTTACTTTCTAACCCTGAGGTGGAGTAATACCTCTATCTGTACATTATAGGTATGAAATATACATACACCAGATAATATACCTTGTAATGATGTTATAAGAAATAAAACACTAGACTCAAGAGATTGCTGAGGTGTATGGAATCACTTCAAATCATCAAAGGTCTATAGTTTTGAGGCCTCAGAAACTTTTTTGTTAGTCTTCCAAGGTCAAAACCTTAGGTGGCCTAAGACCATAAAGAATATGTCCTATAGATCCTAAACATTTTCTTTACCAACTAATGTTTTTAAATGTGAACTATTTGAGCTGAAAACTTCAGCAAGAAAAATTATAGGAGAATGTATGTGATAAAAAGATACATACTCAGGGTAAGATGTCAAAGTTGAATATGAAATCAATTCACATGAAAATGGTCTCTTGTTAAAACTCAATAGAGGCTAGAAGTGAATGTGGATGAGACAGTAGAATTGTTTTAAAGAAGAAAAACATATAAACGGCTACATGTCTGCAAACGAGTCAGAGCAAAACTATGCAGAATCAAAGGAAAATGGACTCAGGTAGGCCTGTGAATTGGAGGGAATAGATTTTAGAACTTTTTAAAATCATCAATTTCTTAGAAAATTATTCCCTAAGAAAATTCCTGAGAGCTGTTAAATTTCCCTTTATAATATGCAAAAAAGATAATCATGCTATCTGTAATTTCTGATTTTTATGGTGTTTGCTTCTATTCTTGCTTATTACATTGGCTAAATATTTACTGCTATATTCAACAGAAGTGAAAGAAGGATCCCTTGTGTTTTCCATCTAAGGAGAAAAGCATTTAGTCTTTTACCATATGTATAATGCAAATTGTAGTTTGTCACAGATACCCTTTTATCAGATTGAGGAAACTTCTTTCTATTTCTAATTTCCTGAGCTTTCATCATAAATGAATTAAAAATTTTGTCTAACGGTTTTTTCCCCCTCATCTATTCAGATGGTCGCCTGATTTTTTTTCTTTATTCTGTTATGTGGTGAATTACACACATTTGTTTAAATGTTGAGCCAATCTTTGTATTCCTGGGGTAAATTCCATTGGGTTGTTATTATACATTATTGTGGTAGATAATGGAGATGTAACACCCAAATTTCCATCCAAGTCTCTTTCAGCTGAGGCTTTCCTGTGAAGGAGATGACAGTTGGATGCTGTCTGCTGACCTCACTCAAATTTTTCCTTGATGAGAGAACCTCAATAGACAGACAGTAGAAAATAGAATAGGCACAGCAAATTTTGTTTGGGGATGGTGGTGAAGTAAGGAAAGGCGAAACAGCTTTGTCTACCTGTGCTCACCAACCCAATATCTAAACCAGCAATTTACTAATTAATAAAGAAGCAGTGATATAAGATATTATTCTTCCAAAGCTAAATTGGACAAAGTGTTATTACAAAGTGAATTTATACACACAAGAAAGTAATGGATATCCATTTGCAATACAAGTGGCTTTGGAAAAATGTTTATATTGTTCATAAACTAAAATACAATAATACTTGCTTTCCCCCTGAAAGATAATTAGCATGTTCCTAGTGACAATCAATATTACACTGAAAGTTAATAGCTTTCAAGTGTGATTATAGCTACTTTACTTGTTCTTTCATTTGCTTGGCTGACATCTAAATGTTTTCTTCTATTTTTACATTCGCAACTTCCAAGGAATTATTTGAACATTAAACAATTTGTACCTGCCTCTTCCCAAAAAGATCTGAAAGAAGGTGGCTCTGTTTAGCATCAGTTTGTTTGTGCCAATCTTAAATTATTCGCTATCTAATCCCACATTTGGGAAGAATAAAAGGAGCAGCTGAGCACAAACAGATATTGCAATGTTTTCTTGCTTTTCATGAGTCAGGAATTTATAGTGTTGGCCTTATCATTTGGTTTGAAGAGAAATGAATTCCTAGAATTTCAGATACTGTACTAATCAAGTAAAAGTACAGAAACACATTTAAATGATTTTTAGACTAAATATCTTAAGGTATTATTTGTATCTCTTTCTTATTATAGAATCATCATGGGATGATCAAACATATATACATTAAATACATTCTAATTTTTATGCTTTTTAACATAGACAAGTACAAGGTTTTTGCTATTAAAAATGTTTAAAGGAATGATATCCTATGCTAAGGTAGCTAATAACTACCATTTATCCACAGAGTAAATTGGGTGTTTGAACTTTAATAAGGTCAGTACCCTAGGTTTTCTAGAATGATATCTACTGCCGTAGATCTGGCTGGATTAGGGTTATGCTATTTATTTAAGATGAATGCTTTGAAAACATTAATATAACTATAACCAGGATAACCAATTGCTAATTGCTCTGATTAAATCTGCTTCTGGTTTAAATTTTATATTCCAGCTTGCTAACAGATGCAGGTTTAAAAAAAAAACAACAATACTTGTAAAATTATAAACTTGAAAACTGTAGTTACAGTTCAAGGACCAGCCTATGTATAGGAAATGTTTTGAAATTAGGGAAACATTATTTTCATTTAATAACTCATATTTAATTAGAAGCAGCAAGATTATATATGGTAATTAGTTTAGTGGACCAGATTTAGAAAAGTGAAAAATTCTTCTTTAATATTTTCAGAGGCATTTGAAGTTTTGATTTTGGAATGAGTTATAATTTTCAATTACAGTTACTAAGAACTTCCAAACCTGGTTAAAAAAAAAAAAAGAAATTGAAATGTAATTCAACAAAATCATAAAAATTGAATAATAACATTTATAGTTTTAACAGAATCAAAAGGAAATAAAGTTTGATCATTACCTGCTCCCACTCCATTCCCATTGGGCATCCCACTAGGCTTGGGTCTAGGGGGTCTTGTAGTTGTCCTATTCAGAACTACAATGAAGTAGGAAATAAATAGTTCAGACATTTTCTTATTAAAAGCTTGCAGCCAAGAAAAACAAAACTTCTCAGAGAATTGAAAGTCATTTAAGCAGGCAACAAAAAAAATGATGACTTACCAAAAAATATTGTTTAGAATATAGAAACACCATTCTGATATAAAAATCATATTCTTGAATATGGGACTAAAGACCTTCAGTTGTACTTTGAAGTGATTGCTGGGCTTCAGTACTTGACTTGAAAAAATAACTGGCAAAGGGATTTATAATTCTAAGTGGGAAATACCTTGCTTCATTTATAAGCATTAGATCCATTCCGAAATGGCATTGAAGAAAGATCAGGACTACATCTGTCTAATGAAAACCAAGACCTGAAATGTGTGTGTTTGTCAAGGTCTCAAGGCATAACTCATAAGTCAGTGACCCATTTGTTAAGGGTTTCTAGGTACAGAGATTTCATTAAGCTGCTAGTCCTTGCACAAGTTCATTGTCAAACACAGAACTTGAAGAAACCATTTACATTTCTTTGCTGCTCTGTAGAAAGCTGTAGCATTACCAAAACCTTAAGACGTAACCTGCTTTATAGGCCACTTAGAAGATGCCCATGGAAGAGCCCTGAGTGTACAGTGCTTACGTGAACAGGCTCTAAAGCCACTGGGCTCACCTTTGAATCTACTTTCTAGTTCTTCTCAGCACCTTAGCTTCCTCAGCCATACTGCACAGAACACGTGGCCAGTGGCCAGTCATTGTTAGCCATCTTTGTTGCTGCTTCATTATTTTGCAGAAATTAAAAAATTTTTTTTTTATTTTGGTGGGAGTGTAAACTAGTACAGCCTCTGTGGAAATCAGTGTGACGATTCCTAAAATTTCTAAAAATCGATCTTCCATATGACCCCACAATCTCCCTACTGGGAATATACCCAGAAGAACTCAAATCACTCTATGAAAAAGATACCTGCACACATATGTTTATCGCAGCATTGTTCATAATAGCAAGATTGTAGAATTTTTAAAAAACCATTCATACATTAAGCTCTCAACAGTTGTCATGACACAAATTCTTTGTTTACAAAAGATTTCTGTGCCTAATTACCTTTAGACGTTGGAGGACTATAGCAAAATATATGGGCTCTCCATAAATCAAAGAATATAAAAAATTATTGTTCTGGAGACATAGTTACCAAGAACGTTCATTTACAAGAGAGTTTTTTATCATTTAGAACTTGAAGACTCCTTAGAATCATAGACAAAAGGGACAGAAAACACATTTTTGGTCCAATTTGTTAACTTTTCCCTAAACAAGTTCCAGTGAGGAAGATCATAGGACCTCTGGAGAATTTAATAAGTTTAAAATATTTCCCAATATATAATTATAACTTTTTTTTTTTTGATGTTTAGTACCTGTGGAATTTTTTTTATCCCCTGAAGTAGTAACATAAAAATATTCTCCCAGAATAAAATACTTTTTATATTAAGAAGATACTACTTTTTCTTAAGAAAGAAATAACATTTGAAAGCAAGTCGTATCATGTCATAACTAATTTTATGCTATTCCATTATTTTACTTTATTTTACTTTTTGAGTCAGGATCTCGCTCTGTCATACAGGCTGAAGTGCAGTGGCAAGATCACACAGCTCATCACAACTTCAACCTCCTGGGCTCAAGCAATCCTTCTGTCTCAGCCTCCTGAGTAGCTGGGACTGCAGGTGTGTGCCACCACGCCTGGCTCATTTTTTGATTTTTTGGAAGAGACGAAGTCTCATTATATTGCCCAGCCTCGTCTTGAACTCCTGGACCCAAGCAATCCTCCGACCTCAGCCTACCAAAGTGCTGGGATTATAGGCATGAACCACTATGCCTGGCCATATGCTATTCTATTATTGCCATGAAGAATTGAATGGATGTGTGTGATCTGCATAAAAAGTACTCTTATACTGATAAGGTTTCATAGTGATCTCTGACTCTGATCATCCTTAAAAACCTTAGCCAAGTCTCATCACTTTTATGGATTCATGAGTACCTCTCCATCTCTCCACTTATCCACACAGACCAGAATTTTTGCATGTCCTACATTGCAGTCTGAGGAAAAATATCCCTTTGGTGACTTTGGATGTTTCAATCCATTTCATATCTTCCCCAACCTGCTGAACATTTAGGTCATCAGAGAAAGAGAAACGACTCACAAGGTCTGAAGTGTGGTCTGTCGGGTGATCTGGGCCTCCCAGGAGTAGTGTATAATCTGTGTGGTGCTGAAACAGAGAACATATTTCATATTTAATAAACAACACTCCAAAGTCCACTGGATGGAGATTAAGACTCTAGGAACCAACAACTTGTATACTTTGCATGGAAGTGGTTCAGGAAACTCCAATTACGCATTTACAGGCTTCATGCTAAAGGTAAACGAAACAAATGAAAATATTCATGACTGAAAATTAAAGATGCACATAGGTCATTTGTAATGTGTGATAAGGATTAGTCATCATTTAGTCCATGTTTTTCAAGAACATTCATTTCACCAGGTGGTTGCTTAACATGATAAACATATAGCCATCCGTCCATCTGTCTATCCATGTCTTTTTTTTTTTTTTTTTTTTTTTTTTTGAGTTGGAGTCTCACTCTGTCGCTTAGACTGGAGTGCAGTGGCCGCTCCCAGCCACCGCAGCCTTGACCTGCTGGGCTCCGGTGATCCTTCCACTTCAGCCTTCCAAGTAGCTGGAACTACAGGAACTGGGCACTACCACGCCCAGTTAATTTTTTGATTTATTGTGGAGACGAGGTCTCGCCAAGTTGCCCAGGCGGGTCTCAAACCCGCGGGCTCAGGCAATCCACTCACCTCAGCCTCCCAAAGCGCGGGATTACAGGCTGAGCCACCGAGCCCGGCTTATCCACGTCTTTCAATAAGGAGTCACTGTGGAACGTGATTTTGCAAAAGAAGATAAGCAATCTTAAAGGTAAGAAGAGAAATAAATATTTAGGCAGGTAAGAAGAAAGGAGTAGGAACATGTGGTCTCTATCAAGTTGTCTTTGTTCATGACTCCTAAATGAATAAATACTCAGCGCTATACATAATGCAGTAGACATCAGAGAAAACGACATCTGGTGTCCTGCCCGCCAGGAGGGAGTGAGCAAGGAGCAGGGACCTTACAAGCCCTGGGACTCACCTTGTTACTCTCTGGCCCTGTGGTCCAGGGCCTGCACAGAAAGGATTTTTAATGCAGACTTGCTGAATGAATGAAAAATTAGGTAACTACTGTATGCAGACAGCTTTGTGAGAACCTGCTGAAATACTTTTGCTTCCTAAGATTTCAAAGCATGCATTCATCCTGGAGTTCATCTGTCCCATACTATGCTTTTCTCCTTGCCCCACCCACTCACACACTGCCTCTTGCCACCAACTTCCTTGGTAATGCCTTAGCTAAGACTGGAAAAAATTTTTCTTGCAAACGATGTAAGTAGATTACATCGTTTTGATGATTTTGTTCACATCTTGAGTGGATATTTATTTATTTATTGAGTTGGAGTCTCACGTTGTCACCCAGACTGGAGTGCAGTGGCCGCTCCCGGCCACCGCAGCCTCGACCTGTTGGGCTCCGGCATTCCTTCTGCCTCAGCCTTCCAAGTAGCCGGGATTACAGGCATGCGCTACCACGCCCGGCTGATTTTTTGATTTATTGTAGAGATGAGGTTTCGCTGCCCGAGTGGATATTTATATAACCATAAACCAGCAATGCCTTGCCTCACCAAGTTAAAAAAATAATGCTTGTAAAATTGGTTATAATGTAGCTCATTTATAAGCTTCCAATGTAAAGACTGTGATGAACAGAATTTTGCCATATTGCAGGCCAACAACAGCAGACATATAGTGAAATTATAAGTTTAGCTTGGGCCTTCCCAAGTATAATAACCAGAGAGAACATAGGTACTGAGTATAAAAATTAATTCTCACAGATCCTAAAATGCCTGATGATGATTTGCAAATATTTTTCTTCAGTTTTCTTTGAGAGTGGTAGGATTCCTTGTCAATTTAACCTATTTCAGCTTTTCATGTAAATCCCTTTGAATATTAGATTGCTTTTGCTTAAAGAAAATTGCTTAAAGAAAATACAAGAATCACGGTACTTGTCTCATTCTAGAATATATATGAATTTTGAACATTGAACAGAAAAGAGATTCAGGGTAGACCACAGACTAATCAGCAAATTTCAAAGCCATGGCGTCCACATTTTTAGTTTTCCCTCAGCCTTCACTTAAATCTAAAAAGAACTTTTTATAAAAGAGCTGAAATGTAATTTAACTTTAGGTTGTGAGTTACTCATTTAGCTCATTCTTAACATGTGGCCTTGAGAAAACTGTTCTATGATATCAATTTTAAATGTTAAGTAAAACAAGTTAAGAATATAAGAAAAAATTAAACTACATTGCACTAATATGGAAAGACAATTCATATATTGATATAATACCCTGCATATACCCCAATAAACTGTGAAATTTATATCTAATAAAATGTTTTAGAAGACATTTGATAAGAATTCCATATACACTAGCAATGGCGACACAATACTGACATTCCCATTAAAGTAAGATAAAGCAAAGCAAGGAAGTAGCAGGCCTATGATCTTTTATTTTCAGCTCTGAAATTCACAAATCTCTAAAAAGCTAAAATCTTTTTCTCATTTGGCAACACAGCCTGAGCTGAATGAGAGTCTTTATCCTGCTTGTAAATATTTATACATTTTGCTGCAAAAAAACTATGCTTGATGATGAGAATCCAGTTATCTTCCAGTAAGCCAGACATCAAAGAGATTTGCAAAAATATAAAATAATAAACATAGAAAAATCAGGGTGGGATAAGTACATAGCATAACTGGTCATGTGCTGTTAACAGTTGAAGCTGGTAAGAGAGATGGGTGGAGCCTGTCATGACATGCTTCTGACTTCTGTGTGTATTGGTAAATAAGTAGGGAATACAAATCCAATAAAATAATTAAATAAACATGCAAAACATAATAAAAAGCAAAGCCAAACAAACACATAAAAAAGATTTAGAAAATGTAAGGGACCCGTCCTACACCAAGCAGAGCCTTTCTCATTCATGTTTATTTAGAATAAACATTGCCTCACAGACAACATCATACTTTACAATTATATATTTTAATCATCCTTTCTTCTTCTTATTTCAAATTTCTTCTACCAACCTTTCCCCTCAAATTAGAACTGATAACGGGTAACATAAACTTATTTGTCTTCGCATTCCTAAAAAAAGAGTTTGTTTTTTTGTCTCATTTTGACTTCCTACTGTTTAGTAGAGGTAGAGATGGGCAAAATGTGTCATTAAAAACCAATGAAGAAAGAAAGTACTGGAAATCCACAGGTGGTTACAATCCAAGTAGGATAGAAAAATATAAAAAAGCAAAGACTTCTGAGAACACAAAGATGAGAGAGAGCTTTGTGTAATTGGGCTCACTTCTCCAAAAGTAGGACATCACAGAGAGGAAGAAATAAAAGTAGGGAACTGTGGAGAATATCTCCCTGGATCTTTAAATGTTGTCATAATATTAAAATGTTATTTTTTTGTTATTAGCCTTTTTCTCAGTCCACAATATCAATGTGCTTCATCAAGTGAAGGAGATGGAAGAAAAAGGGAAACAAGGAGGGGGAGGAAGAGGAAGAGTAGGATGGGGGAAGAAGAGGAGGAAGAGAATAAAGATTCTTATTTATCAGATGTAGAAAATGAGGCAAAGGAAGGTCAAATCAGAAAAAAAATGGGCACTTTCATTCTTAGTGATCAGCATCAAGCTGACAATGATACACTCAAAGGCAATGCTCTGACTAAAGCCCTTATCTTCTTTGCAATCGACTAGTATTCATATACGTATCCAGATTGAGTGATGTCCTTTACCTATGAAATGAAAAAAAATCAAGTAATTTACTGTGATGAGAAATAACATTTTGGAAAAAAAAATTCTTTTCGAATAAAAAGCAAATAAGAAAAAAATTACTATCCAGAGGTAGGGAAATAGTATTACCCTGAGTAGTCTTTGCCAATTCAGTTGTTCGTGGAATCTTAGTTGTGAAGAGTTCTCGGGTGAATTGGTCTGTTTCTTCTGGGGAAAAACACAGTAAGATGGCTTGTCTTAAATAATATTTATTGTAGTATAGCCAAAAAAATCTCATGCTCTTTGCTTCCCCATGCAATGGTAACAGGATAAACTGCATTTCAAAATATGCCTAATCGTAATAATTCCAAGTAAATGGTACATGTTAATAACTCTTATTTGTTATGTTTGCTGTCTTACACTATTATTTTAATAACTATTATCAGGATTTCCAAAAGCTTTCAGCACAGGATCATTGTTTCATGACTCTGGTTGTGCCTACTCTTGGATATGGCTCTTGCTTGAAAGACTTCCACCTGTCCTGCTCTGTTTATCTCCATGTCTTCTCCCTACTCCATAAATTCCACAAATTATTAAGATGAGCTGGAAATACATCACATGAAAAGATGTGTATTTGCATCACGAGAACAAATATTCTTCTGTTTTCCTCATGTGAAAGTCAGAGAGTTTGTTTACTGACATACAGACACAATATTTTGCCTCCTGACCAAAAAACAGAACAAAACACAAAACACATACGTGTAGCAATATTTCCAGCCCATGTTATCTTGAAATCATCATACCACACAGTCATAGCAAATCACACTGTTCACATTGCATACTAGACCCAGGGAAATACTTGGTGTAAATAACACATGGCTACCTTCTTTTCTATCCTGCTTTATTCTCTTGATTCTGTTCACAAGAAAGGCACCTGTGATCATTGACAGGTCCTGACTTTGATAAACTGAGACACATTAAAACAATAGGGAGTGGTGGCTAAATAATTAGCATAGTCAGGAGTGGTTTGTGAAAAGTACTTTTAATTTTGCCACCATGGGTGACATTGACTTTGCAGACCTAGGCTAGACTAGATGAATATTTGCTAATTAGCATATATTTGCTCGCTCAATTTCAATTTTTTCTTCAAAAAGAATTTCACTTAAAAAAGTGATCAGTAACTTCATTTTCACTTTATACTCACAAAAGGATTGATTTATCTGAAAAGAGATGAAGGAAGGCAAATTAAACTACTGATTAAGACACAGCTATGTGGGATGCAGTGTGGACAGGACCGAGGGGCTAATCAATACAAGCTGGAAACTTTAACTTTTGCGTGCATTTTCAGTCAAGAGGCTGGAGCTTCCTGCACAGTGAACACATTTGTGGTGAACTCCTGGAAAGCATGTCCAGCTCCTTCCAACCAACCTTCTTAACTTACCCGTCCTTGTTTCTCCAGGCAACCTACATGATCACTAGATGAGTCCAGCTGTCATTCCCTGCCCTGTGCTTCTGTCCCATTGGTCTTCAACTTGAAAAGATCATTTACATCTTTGGTCAAGTCTCATTCCCACTCGAAAACCCAGTGTAAATGTCACCTACTCCGAGAAGCTTTACCTGATGCTCCCAGGTAGTTTGCTTGTTTAACATGTTACTCATTTCTCTGTCACACCCATTGTAATGTAATATAACATTGTGGGTAAATCCTAGAAGCTCTGAGAACTGAGTGTGTAGATTCTAACCCTGGCCCTGACACTAGATGTTTCACCTTTGCCAAATCTTAAAGCTCTCTATGCCTCAATTTTCTAATCTGTAAAATGGGGCAACTAATAGAACTTACCTCACAGAGTTATATGAGTTAAATCAAAAACTACATGTAGTGTATTCGGTGGCACAGAAGAAGTGATATTGTTACTAAATCCCATCTTCAGATTAGGGGTGCACTCTCTAGGGTAAGGGCTCACATTTAAAATATTCATTTTTTTTGGAATTTGCATCACTTAGCATTGTACTTAGACCCAGGAAAAGCTCAATAAATTACTAGATGAGTGATTTTTTTCCCCCCACAAATGCAGTTTTAAAAAATCAACTAAAGAACAGTTATGATTTGGAAGCATTTTTCTCTTCAGAATACTTGAAATTTTGTCAAGATACGTTAAAACATTCTCCTTTTATATTGAAAATCAGCATAAGTATTAGAAGAAAAAAATATACCATTAGTGTAAAAGTATCAACGAAGCGGATTTTATTTTATAATGGTAAGAGTGATCTTCTATTGTTTGGAAAACAATTTATGAACATAATGTTCTATGTTTATTTTAAGGAATCCTAAAGCGTAGATCCTCATTGAACTAAAATATCCAAAAAAAAATTTACCCAGAGTGGTTTGTAGTTCCTCTTGACTAGGACTTGGGGAAATCATAGGCATAAAAGGGATGCCTCGTGTCTCTAAAAGAGCTGCAAAAACAAACAGAAACCAAAAAAACCAAAGTTGTAAAATTTTAGATCCAAAGTCAGCATCAGACCAGATTGGTATAAAATGAGATTCTGTCATTTGAAATAGAAAAAGGAAAGAAGAAAGTTAAGTGTGCACAGAAGTTTCAGGAAAATGATCATGGGATACTAGAATAATGGTTCTCAACTGTTTTTCCACCATAACATACAGTAAATGACATTCTTTGCTTGACCCGATTCATGAGAATGCCTGGTTAAGATGGGGTATGAGTTAGACACAGCACTGGGCTATTAGCTGTAGCTTGGTCCTTTTCTTCCCGACCCAAGAGATCATATGGGATTACAACATGAGTGAGGATACCATCACTACTGGGATAATCTTCTTGAATTGATTCAGTTTGATTTCACAAATAAATCATTGGCTATTTTCAGTATTTTGACCAATATTGATAATAATTACTTGTAGCACCCTTGAAACATGCTAGTATGTTAATATTATAGCTGAGAACCACTAAACCAGCAGAAATTGTTAACTAAATGGACACCAGTAAGGTGGAGTCATTTTGAACATGGGAATAGATGAGGTAGAAGAGGATGAACTCAGTATTGAGCTGCCTTAAGTTGGTCTTCAGGGGAAAGTCTTTACAACTGTAAAATCATTGCTTTTTCTGTTTTTGAAGGAGTAATAATACTGAGCATAATATGATAAGATGAATTGAGAAGAGATGATGTTTCAGTACAACTGCTTGAGAAAGACCTGAGACCTTGATGGTAGCAAAGAAAACAATCAGAGTTGGTCAATATGGGAAAACCATTACCTATTGTTGTCTTTGGTGGCTCAATTCTATAGGTAACTGGTTGCAGAACTATGCCAAAAGCAAGCCAGAGAAACACTTATGAGCATTACTGCCTGGTGGAGTCAAAATAGTTTCTGTATTTTCTAGACCCATTGATTTAATCATTTAAATATTTTCTTTTTTAAAAAAATTAAAAAAAAATATTTTCTAAGAACTGTAATAAATATGAGAAAATTCTACATACTAGATTGACACTCAGGGAACTTACTTTAGACAAAACTTTAAAGTCCTTATTCATTGTCATTTTGAGGAAATTTTTGAGTAGGTACCAACATTTTTTACTTAAAAGTACACCCATGGTTGTAATGTAGCTATAGTTATATTTTAAAAGGATGTAAAAGAGTTAGTGTAGTTAGTAATTATGTTTTATAGTTTTATCATGCTCTCCTAGTCAATGAAAACACTTCCAGGGAAAATAAACGAATTATATACTATTCCTTTGTTTAATCAGGGAAAAACTTTTTTAACAAGATAATTATAATTCCCCAAAATAAATTTACATGATACATATATTTTTTTCTCTGAATGTCTCCCATATAAAAATAATTAAAAATATATTACCTCAAAAATAAATTTTAAAAAAATGTTTTCTAATTGGGAAAATAAAATAATTCATTTACCAGGTTCACTCTGAGAGACCTCGGGATCTGGTTTATGGGGAAGGAATACATCTTTTGGAGCTGAAAGAAAAAGATTATAAGACACTGTATACTCTAAATGTCTAAATGTAGAGTTAACCCACAGATATAAAATTCCAGAAAGCATGAATTAAACAAAACTATTTTCACAATGGTTAATGACCAAAGATGAGATAATGACCGTTCTTTTCAAAATGGAAAAATGTCACTATGCAAGGGAGATTCTGGTGGCAGTAAAACAGAAGCAAAGCCAGTCACAGTTTTTTGAAGTCTTCCTTGAGGAAAAAAAAGAGGAAATAGCTAACACAATTTAACATAAGAAGGTAAGTCTCTCTCAAGTGGTTTTCAAAATACAAAGTCAGTTTTTGCCTGATGTGGCTAGCTGCCATTTGATACTCATGCAAAAAGTCCATTAATAGTAACAGAAAAATACATTATCTTAAAGTACAAAAATGACTACAAATAGAGGGAAACAGGGAAAAAATCTTGAATATCTAAGAAAAGAACAAAATTTCATTCTAAATGGCACTAGCAGTTATTGTAGAGAGAAACTAAAGCACAAGAACCAACAAGTGATTAGAAGATACGCTATGTAACATTTATGAGAGAGCTTGTTACGTAACAAATGTTAGACAAATACTAGCTGTGCCATCTCTGTGTTCCTTAGTGATGTGGCTTCCAGTATATTAGCGTGCTTGACATATGAGAATACTAAATCAAAAGACAAAAATGGGAGCTAAACTCTAGGCCTATTCATATCTAGCCTGATATCTAGTATATATATTTTTACTGTCCGTATTCTATTTTAGCAAAATAAAACAGATTGAAGTAGATTGAAAACTTGCCACTTTATTTCTCACTGGAGAAAATATATGCCCATTGTTGGTACTAGGTTTCTGAGACAAAATCTCCTTCTAAGAGCAGCGTACAATACTTATTTGACTCAGTTCTCCCACAAGAAGGCCTCAGGCCTACTCTATCACCAAAAGGTATTCTTATACTAAAGAGTTCATAAATATCAGTGACTTTTTGGTAGGCAGTGTAATTTTCTTGCATCTTGAATGATGCTGGAAAAAAATTAGGATTCAGGTTAGAACACTTAGAAGAAACGTGAAGAAAACTTTCATTTCATGAGGTGGCCAAGCACCACTTTACCATTAGTGTAGAAATGTAAATTAGTGTCATTCGTATAAAACAGACTTCTCTTTTTATTGTTTTTGGGGATCATATTTAGTTTGCTTGTCATATCGGTTCTTAGTCTAGGTCACTGAATACCAGCTAAATTACAGTTGGGAAAACCGGTACATTGAATGGAAATTTAACTAGAACTTCTATGAGCTAAAAGGTAACATCTAGAGAATTTGAAAATCTAAATGGCACTAACAGTTTTGTTTTGTTTTGTTTTTTAAGAAAAAAGGAAATATCCAAGAGATTTTTTTTTTAAAGAATAAAGGAAATATCAAAGAGATTAGTGGTTGACAAAGTTAGAGAAAGCCACCACAGTAGTGAACATTTCACCTTTGCCATGTCATTTTTAGGGGGAGATTCAAATGGTAAAATATGAGAGATTTCCAGTTGTAAATCAAACTAAATGTTGATCTGGTGGTTGAAGGAGAAAGCACTTTGATTTGGCCCTGAGAAGGTCATGAACATTTCAAGCGGCCTGTAGTTTATAAATGTCTTAATTAGTGATAGTACTAGACTACATAAAATCTGGGATTAAGGCAAGGAGAAGCTAAGAAGAGGTATGCTATTAATAAACCCACCATCCTGTAAATACATTACTCCCTGCTACTCTAGTTGACTGAGGCATTTCAGCAGGGTAATGTGGACTCCAGCTGCTGCAATTGGCACTTTTCTTTTTAACCATGAAGTGATGATTTAATAAACTGCCTAGCAGACTTCCTAAAGCAGGTGAAATCAGTGGAAAGGAAAGAAACAGAAATATTCACAGAAAAGGAATATGAATCATTCTCCTACTTGGTCAACTACAGCAACAAGAAATGCACGTTGCTGTTTTTTCCTTTTCTTCCCCACGTGGCAATCCCCTGTTTATTAGATTTATAAGATTATGATCCCTAAGATCTGTATCTTTCCTGCAGGGGAAACTCAATGAAAATGATGACAATTGATTTAAGAAGGCAGTTTTGATTTCCTTACAGGAATATTTATCATTATTATACTTTAGACTCAATTATATTAACTAACTTATACCATTTATACTAAAGAATCAATCAATCATGTTGGTTTTTTTGAAGAAACTGTAACACTCCAAAGAAAAATTCAACCAACGTAAGACAGTTACGAGTGGGCAATGTCTAACACGGACAAATGTAAATAAGTGTGCATGAGTGTTTTGCTAGAGTTAGAAGACAATGAATGAATTGCTCTCTGATAAAGTTGGTAGACTAGGAAGTCTGCAGTAAGGCTTACTCTGGCAATAGGCTAGAGAGACCAATTCTCTCAGGAAAACCACACATATAAACTGCATTCTCTTTTCACGTCAAGATTCTGTACTCCTTTACTCTAACCATTAGGTACAGTGTGAGAGGAAGCTCAGTTCCCTGCCCTTTTAGAGACCATTTTCTGGCTTTTCCTGTGCTCTTGGCTACCTTATCTCCCATCTCCTCTGGGGCTTTTTGCTTTCCATATTTCATTTATGCTATATTTTTCTCCATTAGTTCACATACCCATTTCTCCATGGGTTCCTTCACCTCCATCTAACAGATTTCTAAGACTAGGTTTCTAAGACAAAATCTCATTCCAAGAGCAATATACAGTATTTATTTGACTCAATTTTCCCTCAAGACAGCCCTCCTCAGGGCTACTCTCTCATCAAAGATTTCATAAATATCAGTGCTCAAACAAATAGCTCAAATGCTCAACATCCTCAAAAAAAAAAAAAAAATCATTCCCCTGATATGGTTTCTCCTTCAATCCATCTCTCTCTTTTGCTGTTATCCCTTTAATTAAAACAACAATAAAGATAACAATAACAACAACTCTGTATCTGCCTCCACTTCTTGTTCTGTTTTGTCTTCTTCATGCATGAGGTCTGGATTCTACTTCACTCATCTCTAGCAATGATGCTTTTTCTATAGTTCTGAAGTCCAAAATGCTCTCTGAAAGCTGAGTTTTCCCCTTAACTTATTCAACAGTAAAATAGAACTAGAACTGATCTAAAGGCTGTTCATAGTTTTTATCTTGCTTTGTAAGATTATTCATGCTTCTCATCGCAAAATATTAACATTTGTAATCAGTGGTATATGCACTCTTAATTTTCTAAAATCTGAAAATTGCTGAATTCTGAAACATCCAGCACAAGGTTTTCAGATAATGGAATTGTGGGCCTGCACAGTCAAGCAGGCAGCCTCTTCTATCCCCTCTCCACCTCACTGTCATCACTGGCCACCCTTCCCTTCTCAGACCCTTTCCTGTCCCACCTCCCAACTCATTCTTCCCTGGGTCCCTTCTATCTTTCTTGACAGCAACATCTGGTGGCTCTTTGTCCTCTGGCCACTAGTTAAATGTAACTGTGCTGCCTACAATCTGATTTCTGATCTCTTATTTTGTCAGTCTGTACCTTCTCCTGGATGACGTCATCCAAGATCTAAGAACACTCTACGTAGACAAGTGACTCCCAATCTAGGTCACAAATCTTGACTCTTGTTTAGAAATCCAGAAAAAACACTTTTAACCACCAGTTAAGTAAGTCCCACCTGAAAGTTCTGCTGGCTCTGCAAAACTAGCATGTACAAATCCAACTCTATCCCCCTCCTCAGTGTTCCTTGTCTTAGTTAATGGCATTATCATCTATCATGTGCTAAGGATGACAGTGTCACCCTTCTCTCCATAACACACCCCGGTCATTCTCTGTCTAGGTCTTAGCAATCCCATCTCCAAAAGGCATTTCAGCATGATTCCCTTATTTCCCTTCCTTCCATTATTAGTTCAAATTCTTGTACCCCTCTAAACTACTGCAAAATCTAAGTGATTCCTTTCCACCAATCTTTTTGTCAGTTTACTCCATGTTTTTTTTTTTAAATCACAGCTATCTTTCTTTTTTTTTTTTTGAGTTGGAGTCTCACTCGGTCGCCCAGACTGGAGTGCAGTGGCCGCTCCCGGACACCGCAGGCTCGACTTTTTGGGCTCCGGCGATCCTTCTGCCTCAGCCTTCCGAGTAGCTGGAATTACAGGCATGCGCTACCACGCCCGGCTGATTTTTTATAGAGATGAGGTCTCGCTGCCCAGGTGGGTCTCGAACCCGCGGGCTCAGGCAATCCACTCACCTCAGCCTCCCAAAGGCGCGGGATTACAGGCTGAGCCACCGAGCCCGGCTACAGCTATCTTTCTAAAATACAGATCTAATTATGTCTCTCCCGTGATTACAAAAAGGAAACACACACACAATTTTAATGTCTTCTAATTGCCTGTAGAAAAATTTCCAAAGTCCTCCTCAGCATGTTAAAAGCCTTCAACCATGTGAGTCTAATTGACTTTAAGTCTTCATTTCTCAATAATTTCACTCACATGGCCAGCAATTTAACCTCCCTGAACTCATACTGTTTCTCAGCTATGCTGAGCACTTTTATACCTCGGAATCTTTGCTTCCTTGTGAACCATCAATAGCTACATGCAAACATCTTTTAGAATCTATCCTAAAGCTCTTTTTCTTGGTGATGCCCCTCTCTAATTCATGCATTTAGAACTTAGTACATCCCTGCTATCTCCTTGCTTTTTGTTTAGGTCACTATCCCACTAATCACTGAGAGATTTGCCTTGTTTTATAGTTATTTATATGCTTTCATGTTTTCCCCACTGCACTATGTTTGGCAGTAGGGATCACATCTAATTCCTCTTTTTACTCCCACAGCACTAAAAAGCATATAAAGTCTTTGCTGAATTGAATATGGCTTAGAGCTTTTGTTTTTTTTTTTTTTTTAGAGCAAATCTGGAAAACATGAACACTTCCTAAGAACCAGCATTGCGTTTCGCTGAGCATCACTGTCCAGACTCTAATGGGCCTCCTCTCAAAGTCTCTCATTCTCTTCCAGGGAGTTGTGAAACATATGAAAAATCTTCCTTTTTCTGCCGTGATTATATTGAGCATGTTTTACTTAACATCTAGAGAAACAACGTATTAGGTGCACCAATGACATACAGAAGCTTCGAGGAAAAGAGGAGGGTGCTGAGTCGCTAACATTTGAGGGAAAAGCATATTTAATTCATTTAATTATTTAACATGCATCAGTTACCTGACCAAACGGCTGATAACTCCTGATTTGAATTCTCATATGTGAAAAGACATTTTACCTCTTGAAAAATTGATAAAAGAACCATTTATTAAAAACAACAACAATATAACTATATCATATATCTTCGGGGGAAAAGAAGATTTAGGAAAAAATGGCAAGAAATCTAGAAGCTGAGGATAATGATCATGAAGCTTGTAGCATGGTAATGATGACAGCGTGATCTTAGGGAGGTAACTCTCTACCCTGCTCACCCCAGCTCCTATTTTGCTAAAAATAAAAGTGGGAAGAATTATTAACTATTTTTATTCTTGGCTTGCTCAGTTCTAAGTTTTGTCTTCCAAAACTCCACTGGAGAAAAGCCCATTATTAGGTGAATGTCCATGCTCAGTCTTCTCCTTGATATAAATCAGGCAGTATTTTTAAATTTTATTTTTATTTTTTTATTTTATTTTAAAGATGTGGGGTATAATTCAGGGTTAGGTATACAAATGTTCATTATGCAGGTACCCTTGTTGATGAGGTGTGTTATCTGGCAATATTTTAAAGTACCTAACTGAAGTCAGTGGTTGCTTTCATGAACTTTAACTCAATTGTCATTTTAAACAAGAGGGATCAACTTTTAAGACCTATTTAGAATTAAACACTCATTCTTAATTAGTTCCCCAAGAAAGTGAAAACCCCAAACCAAGCCTATTTAACTGGAAACATGGAAGTAACTACAAACATGCTGATGAGTGTGACTACAAATAAGAATTTACCAAAGGGAGTAGAGACAGAACAGAACATTCCCGAGGATTTGGACAGCTTGTTAACATCTAGATCTTCTTCCTGGTTCATTTCCGATGACTGAAGTCTATCCAAATGCCTGAGGGCAGGAAGCATGACCACAAAACCAGTAGGGCTCTTGGTGTAGAAACGCACCCACAAGGAAGGCAGAGCTCTGTGGAGCCAGGCAGCCTGGTTTGAACTCCAAGTTAAATGGCACCTGTTTGCTATCAGGGGAGTCCTTTGCTCTGAATTCTAAATCATTATTCCAAGGCAGATGTGGAGAAAAGACAGTTCTGTTTTGGTCTGGACATTGTGTGTAGGTTCAGTTTGTCAAGATTCCTCATAAAGTGTAGTAGTTAATACAACTGAGTGGCTGGAAGGTTTTCTCTAAAGGCCTCACTAGCTGAGGCTGGTGTTCGCTTAGAAGTCTATGCAATGGAAGAGCTGTACAGTGAATTCCAGAGTGATTTCCTATTTGACACTGGTCTGGAAATCCAAGTTCCTTACTTCTGATTTCTCTCAGGATAAATTTTGCAATAAACATCATGATAAAACGTAACTATGTCCTGATTTTAGCACTGCATTTTACATTTTTCGACATTTGCAGAAGAGTCTGTTTGTCTAAGATAGTAACATATATTAAATATACATGCAAGTTATACTCTGTTTTCTGAGGAGTAACCTATAGGATCTGCTGCACAAGATCTTGGGTTATTAGGATGCAAACTTCAGCCTAGACACAATCCAAAAACTGTTTGCACATAATAGAATCTAGTATTGGAACCCTTGTGGGGAAACTGAATTGCAGTTAACACAGTTGCCTTAGAATCATTCCTGTGGGCATCACACTCCCGGAGCAAAGGGAAATCCTGATCACAGTGGCAGGGCCAACACCAAGCTTAGAGACAAAATCTAACTCTGAACACAAAGAGCTGGAGAGTTGTTAGAAGAGGCCCCAGGGAAAGTGTATGTGTTTTTTCAGGGCTCAAGTTCAGGGGTCAGAATTTCTGTGAAATACAGGGTGCTGGTGGATTTATGACAAATATTAAATATTTAAAAAGAAATTAAAAAGCTTAACTATTAGGTATATTGGTGTAACAAAATTATACCAATAATATTACTTTCTATCATGAAAAGAAAATGTAAAGTCACTCAAATCTACTGTTTGCCCTCACAATTGAAAATAAATTGCTCATTTACAAGTGGGAAGGTCAACATTTTTCTAACTTTATGTTTATCATATTGGCTGTTATATTTAATGGTACACATTTTAATTCTAGACTTTGGGGCAAAGGAGACTTTCTCAGCTATCAGGACCACCACCACAAACCCGATTACATCTCAGCAGCAATAATAGCCTTCGCTTTACATAATTTGGAAAACACTACAGCAAGTGAATTCAGACTTGCTTTAGAAATGCTATCATTTTAAACTACAGTTTAGAAATCCTTTGGTTCTGGAAATATTCTATATACTTTTAGGAGCATCTAGAAAAATTATAATAATTGTACCCTTAAAAGGAAAGAGAAAAAAACGTACACTATTTCTCAGATGGTCTAGCTAAAAATGAGTTTAGATTTTTAGAGAAAACTGTTCAACTAACAGTGTCTTCTTAAGACTACTTGAAGACTTCATGTAAAGAGCAGTAGTGGTAAGATCCATGAAATGTCTGGGTTCTTAAAGTCCCCAACCTGGATACTTCTGCAAATATGAGATTAATAAGTGAACAAAAGGCCTTCTTAGATGACTGGCAAAAATAGATTTGTAAATTTTAAAAAAAACAACAACCTTTCTTTCTGTGAAACAAATTTCTTAATCCAAGCAATTGCTCTGTGAACTTGTAAGATAGGATGTGACAGGAAAACACTCAATGCTGGACATAGTAAAATTTACCAACCCAAGTAAATGACTAAACATCATTGCCTCTATTTGCAAAACATCATTTTATCATTTTTGCAGGGGAAAAAAACACACAAACTACTTATCTTCTTGTTTGGTGAAACTTTTGAGCAGAGCATCGTTAGAACTGCCAGGTTTATCTTGTAAGTCGGAGAATAAGATAACTTTAGTTTTAGGAAAGACATTCTACTCTTGGGATAATTACCTGTCTTTTGAGTGTAATAATAGCTTTCCTACGTGGACAACTGGACACTCTTATGAAACCTCTAAAATAATCATATCATAGATGATACAACATGGTATTTGAACATAAGAGATATATTGACTTCACATCCATCAACATGTATTTCATTGCAGTGGATGTGACAGTAGAATGCATTTGGCTCAAACATGAAATAAAGCATTTACCAGGTGTGGTATATGACACTTCTGGACTTGGTGACGTTTTTGGTTTTGAAGTAACACGCTGGGGCCCCTTAGGAACTGAAAGAGAGAACTCAGATGATGAGTTATTCAGTTTCTGTGTCTCTCAGTCATGCTTAACACAAAAGGCATGACAAGGTGTAGCCTGAACACTGATAAAGCATTACTTCCACAGGAGTTGGAACACTAAACCTTGAACTCTAGAAATAGATAAGTTAGAACTCTAGATATTTTAGAACAATGAAGTCTGAGAAACAGCAGAATTTAACAAAACATCAGGGTAAGATGAAGCCTTTTTGGATATCTTCATTTCAGTGGGGACAGCTGTTAAATGAATGGAGTGCTTTTTTTTTCTGGCTATGTCTGTTTGGCTTCTCCTTAAACCCACTCTAATGTCTTTCTTAAAGGCAAATTAGGTAAAGACAGTAAAGTCAGGGTAGAGTAGTCCTATGAAGCACAGATAATATTAAAGTCAGCTCGGGCAACAGCAGAGAGGTTAAGTACACAACACCGTGGAATGGGTCAGTTCACACCTTACTCCTCTTGCATTTCTCAGGTCCCAAAGAAACTTTCTTTTTCTTTTTTGAGTTGGAGTCTCACTCTGTCGCCCAGACTGGAGTGCAGTGGCCGCTCCCGGCCACCGCAGCCTCGACCCGCTGGGCTCCGGCGATCCTTCCGCCTCAGCCTTCCGAGTAGCCGGAATTACAGGCCCACGCTACCACGCCCGGCTGATTTTTTTGATTTATTGTAGAGATGAGGTCTCGCTGCCCAGGCGGGTCTCGAACCCGCGGGCTCAGGCAATCCACTCACCTCAGCCTCCCAAAGGCGTGGGATTACAGGCTGAGCTACCGAGCCCAGCTCCAAAGAAATTTTCAAATGAACTTGTTCACAAACTAAAATTGGCTTTCCACAACTGCTCCGTTGGACTAACACAGTGTTTATGTGACAGACATTAGGGGGAAAAGTCTAACTTATTTATAGATTATGCTACAAATTTCAAAAATTTTATAAGGTTTATGCCCTTTGACTGTCACCGTAATGCTGGGAGGAAGGAATTATTAGCTACACTTTATAGGTGAAGAAACAGAGCGTTGAGCGGTTGATGTTCTAAGATTATCAAGTACCAGAGTCAAGACTTGAAGCAAATGCTGAGGATAAGATATTATCAACAGGTCCAGACACTTGGGATCTCTGCATCCAATACTGTAGGTCATGTTTTAACATGCTTCTCATTTCTTAGATGATAATAATAAATCTTCCCTAACTCAAAATATGGTTATAAGAATCAAATGTTAAAGTGATATGAAAATTATTTTACTATAAAGGTTTTTTTTTTTCCACTTCTCAAGGATCTTTACAAATTTGGCATTTGAAGCATCTGAGTATATTCTGATTTTCAAATTGCGTGCCCATACAAAAACTGGGAATGCCCATAATTTTGGTGATTGTAAGATCTCTAGTTATAAAGTTAACAATGGAATCTTTGACTATTACCTGAGGACACAGGGATCTAAAAATCAAAACTTCATTAACTTATAAAATATTCTTGATGATTTGTTTTAAATTTTGGATCCCATTTTGCCCTCAAATGCCAAATACAGATTTAAATGCTGCCAATTTGTAAACATACTTTCAGTGAAACTAACAAGAAAGGTTACATGTCCAAATACAGAATCTTATTCTAAAAAAGTGGTGGATGAACAAAATTTGTTATATTTTAAAAGGTTGTACTATTGTTGATCATTCTCTTATGATAGCCCAACAATTGCTCTGGATCGGGATTCAATAATTTGCATTGGTATTGTGCATATAAACAGAACATTCTCCTGCCCAAATGGACTTTTGAAATTTACAAGAACCAGTCAAGGGTAAGGGAGGAAGTATTAGGATTTGACTATCTTTAAAACATTTTGTGATACATATATGTACACACACATCCTTGAGAGACTATAAAAATCTATTTTTATTTTTTTGAGCTTTTTAAAAATTTTATATTTTAATTTTTAAAATTTTTTAAATTAAAAGATAAAATATAAAAATCTATATTTTTGAGACCTATTAAGGAAGATTCATATTCTTATTATGGGATGGGAAGATCCTAATCCTTTAAGAAAGAATAATTAGAATGTATTTTGTTTTTCACGATCCCTTTTCCAACTCACTCCATTACATGAAGAAGCACAGCCACAGCCAGAAGTATCGGGGCTACAGCTACTTTCCACAAGAGATGCAGGTGAACTGCAAGTTACCCAACTGGTACAGAGCAGTAGGCTATCCCATTACAGTCTGGTAGCCACTCCAGGGTTCAGAGTTAGAGAGTGGAATGCCTTGAGCATATGAATATATCTATTCTGCAGATGCACATCTAGTCTTAGAAAGGTTGGCTAAAGGTCTAACTCAAAATTAGACACATTTGAAACTTAGAATACAGGATAATGAGAAACTAGAGCAAACTTCTGATTTATCATACTGCATTTTAGTAAGTACAAAGTACAGCTCAAAAAGATAAAATTACAAATAAATTTTTCCTATTGCCTCATAGCTCTTTAATTTTTTTTTTTTTTTAACTAAACAGGAATTTATGAGCTGGATGTCTTTACTTCTAGGTATTTCTTATTTTCCATCCTTTCTCTTATATTTCAACATTCATTAAGTTTTTATGCTTTCTTTTCTATTTCTCCTACCTTTTATGCTTCTATGTTTTATTTTTATTTTTTGAGTTGGAGTCTCACATTGTTGCCCAGATTTGAGTACAGTGGCACAATCATGGTCACCACAGCCTTCACTGACTGGGTACAGCTGATCCTTCCACCTCAGCCTTCCAAGTAGCTGGAACTAAAGGCACGCATAACCACACCTGGCTAATTTTTTGATGTATTATAAAGATGAAGTCTTGCCAAGTTGCCCAGGTTTGTCTCAAACCCCTGGGTTTAAGCAATCCTCTCACCTCGACCTTCCAAAGTGTTGGGATTATAGGCTTGAGCCACCACACCCAGCCTGTTTTGTATTCAGACAAAAAGTTGAGAGCTTCTTCTCTTACAATTTTATTTGTTGCTTTTTAAAGTTAGTTTTAGTTTCCTATTAGCAAATATACTTGGCTTTTATTTAATAACCTAATTTATTTTTTGAAGTTTGTTATATTTTATCCCTATTTTATTCATTATTATTCACTAATCATTGCTATTACTGCAGTATTTCTCATATATTAACCTTACAAATGTATTTATTGTTATCAGTTAAAATTTCTTATTCTTTAGGGGAAGGTTGCATTGGTATTTTTCCATATTTACGTATCAGAATATATTGCTTTCATAACTAAGTTTTAGTAATTAATTAAAACAGATTAAAAAAATATGCTAACATAAGGCAGATTTGAAATCATTAGTAAGATAAAAAAATAAAATAGTCCTTTAAGAAGTTTTCCTTAAAGAAAAAAATTAGTGATAAGGTAAAATTACTCTCAATCGATAGTAGAGATCATACCTAAAACTATAGTATGTCTTTCAGAGAGATTCTGAGATACAGTTAAAGTATCTGTGGTGAGAAGCCAGAATCACTACCCAGAGCAAGTTTTGATGGTGCTAAACATTTTCCTTTCCCTTGACCATTAGTAATAGAGAAGTTTCCCTTCCTGGTATTCTGGGTGGATGTACCTCAGATATTTTTTATAAGATATTTTGAAATTTGAAAATTTCAAGTTAGATGTTTGGTAAGAAGAAGCACATTTACAGAATGTGGAAGGCACAGGAGTACAGTCTCAGGTTGGGAAAGGAAACAAGTATAGGCGGTCAGCTACTCTTTCTAAGAAATGCCATTCCTGTCCACCCCTTTGTCAATAACATAATGTTAGGGAAGCTCTGTGGAACAAACTCTTCCAATGATGTGCTTTTTGATAAAGTGTAAAAATAAATTTAAATATGTATTAGGTTACAGAGGAAGACTTGTTTTACAAGTGTTAAAAACTCCATCTGCTATTATTTATTGTTCAACAGAATAACTAACCCTATTAACCTCAAGCTTTTCAAGATAAAGCATGTATTATTTACCTGGTTGTATTTGTGGGATTCTTGGGCGTGGTGATGTTTTTGGCTTGGAAGGAGCACGCGGTGTCTGCTTGGGAGCTAAAAGAAAGGATATAGTTTCGGAGACCTTGAGTCCTTCAAGAATGACACTACCTAGGCCTCTAGGGAGGTCAGAGGTGTTTGCTGGGTGACTGAGGACCTAAATACACAGCAATTAGCACAATTAAAGCTCTTGAATATTCACCAAACACAAGAAGATAATTTTTTTAATGTGTTAGGAAATAAAACACAAAGGCACATTAACTGACCCGAGATATGCAGCTGGCAAAATGAAACTATTGAAATCTCAGAAATATCAACTTCAAATACCTTTTAAATGGGTTGAAAGTAAGTTTCATAGTAACAAGAATTCATCCATATTACAAGTTTATATCATTTTATCAGAATATATAGGTGTACTATTTTAAATGCAAACACACTGTTTTCTAAAGAAAAAAAAGTTACTATATATTATATTCCAAATACAGAAAGTATGTTGATAGCAAGTGCTAATGGAAAAAATCTTACTAAGCAAAACACAATTTTTTGGCTATATTGGGGAAGATAAATTGAACACTAATGATACTTTCTATGGAGAATTATTTATTTCCTTGGCAATTCCCAAAGAAGTTCTAGGACATTCAGTGTAAAAAACCAACTGTTTCTTCCCCCTGAAATTAAAAGTACTTCCTCCTGAAGGAAAGAAAGTATCAAAAGCAAGGTTGCAGCTTGTAGAAACACCTCGTTTGGGGGAACCAAAGTGTGTTTGGGATAAAGAAAGATAAGAAAAAACAAAATGGTATGAACGCCATGCGGTTTCAGGCACCTTAAGAAAAACTTGCAAAAATAAGAGTTATTAGACACCAGACATTTCTGAAGGAGTCTGCAGAAGCTTCTCCCTGATACTAAATAAAAATATACAAGGTATTCCATGGTTTCAGAGGAATCTTCTTGTCTGTAAAGAGATGAACACCAAGATAATGTTGGCAATTACTTACTGGTTAAGGAGCCTGGAGGCTGGGGTTTTAGAACTTTCTTTGCTAATTATTGGGTTTTCTGTCTCAGGTTCTTCATCAAACGTTACATGATGTTTTGTTGTTTGTTTTCTTGTTTTTATTTATTTATTTTTGAGTTGCCCAGTCTGGAGTGCATTGACATAATCACAGTTCACCACAGCCTCGAACTCCTGGGTTCAGGCAATCCTTCTACCTCAGCCTCTGTTGTAGTTGGGAGTACAGGTGTGCATCATCACACCCAGCTAATTTTCTGACTTTTTTGTGTGTAAAGATGAGGTCAAACTATGTTGCCCAAACTGGCATGGAACTCCTGGGTTTAAGCAGTCTACCTGCCTTGGTCTCCCAAAGTGCTGGGATTAGGCATGAGCCACCATGCCCAGCAGAAAAGTTACATGATTTTTAAGAACCCTTCCAGTTTTAAAATCCTATGATTCTAGAGTTTCTTAGTCTTGTGATTTTCTGGTTCTCAACTTCCTTGCATGCTGGGGTTCCAATTGATATGCTATTGGCTCCCTTCCCCAGGGCATAAGAAAGACTATCTGAGATAAAGGCATATCGTAAAGCAGTTTCATGGAAAATGATACCAAATGAGCTAAGAATCACTAATAGCAGTGTTTGCAGTTTGATATTTCAACAATATTAATTATTATCGCTATTAAAAACAAAACTTTGGAAAAAGATATAACTGATACAGATACCATTCATGTAGTCAATGTAGAATTTTGGTAAAAATTAAATGGTAGAGTTTATAGGCAATGCTTAGCATGACATATCAGACGACAATGAGCAAAATTAATATCCTTGGAAATAGAGCCAATAAAATAGTTTAATTATAATCAAAACAGAAGTCTGGACTTATTTATGATAAAATTCTATTCCACAGAAACCTATAGCTATTGAGAAGATTTTTCCTTGTTAAGAAGAGTCGCATTTAGTTATCCATGTTGATGACTTGTTTGCATTCATTTCAAAGGTCACCACCACAAAAACCTTTATGACTAGCTGAAGTAATTGGTTTGATTTTAGTTTCTAATTGTAAATGGTGAAACGGCCAAACCATTATAGGAAGAAGTAGAAAGAAGGCACCTGGATAATTACAAAGTGGCTGGCCAGTTATACCCCCTTTTATGTGAATTTCACAGTTAAACCTGTTTCTGGAGGTTTCTTTTAACCTCAGATACGAATTAGATATCTTATAACACTTTTTCCACGATCACAGAACTTGTAAAACTAGTCAAGATGATAAAGTAATTGAAGGAATTAAAATAGGATCTCTCACCCTCTTTCTCTCCCCCTCTTTCTAGAGGTCACAATCATGTCACCACAGCCACGACCTCCTGGGCTCAGGTGATCCTTCTACCTCAGCCTCCAAAGTAGCTGGGTCTACAGGTGTGCGCCAACACACCTGGCTAATTTTTTTATTTATTATTATTTTTTTTTTTGTAGAAACAAGGCTCACTATGGTGTCTAGGCTGTGTTGAACTCCTGCGCTCAAGCAATATTTCTGCCTTGGCCTCCCAAAGTGCTGGGATTATCGGCTTGAGTCATTGCATGAGAGAAAGGGAGAGGAGGAGAGGGTGAGGGGGAGAGAGGAAGGGGAAGGGGGAGAGGGGGGCATGAGGAAGAGAGAGGAGAGAGAAATGTTGTTCCCCAGAAATATTCCTATTTCCCGAATTAAACACTTGCAGAGTAGCTGTGGGGTGTTTTTCAACCGCATCTTGAAGAATATTCACAATATTGCCATCTGAGGGGTTATTGACGATAGCGGGACATCAGACAGGGTCACTCATCAAAGACCGCGAGCAGAGATGAAGTCAGGGCCTCTGATGTCGGCAGTGACCATATTGTCATTCTGCAACACTCACCTCACACATGAAACACAAAGTAATGTATTTACCGGGTTCAGTCTGAGGCTCATCTGGGCTGGGTAGGATTATAGTTTGAGAAGGCAGAGGTGATGTTTCTATGGTAATTGAAGGAAAGTACGCAAGGTTACTATAGTGCTTGGCATACCTTGAGTATAGACAACAGACAGGATGGCAACAAATAGATTTTAAAAAATAAAGAAAATTGTAAGCCTGCAACAGAACAGCGTTCCTACTTCATAATGCCTTTGATTTAAAAAAAAAAATACTTAGAGATGCCAGTGACAAAGTAATTTTGAAATCCTCACTCCACATTAGAACCCTAACTCTTCAACAATGCCAGAAAGACATCCAGTAAGAATCATGAGGGGAAAAGTAATCTAAATGACAGTATAGCATGAATAAATTAAGAAGCACTGAATTTCACTTAAATAAAGAAGGGAAAAATCAAATGAGTAAATAAGTGTGATGGAATGAGCGTTAATGGAAAGTATATTCTAGGTCAGAAAGGATAAACGGACCATCATACAAAAAGTATTACCTGAAACAGTCAACACAACATCAAGCTGGCAAAATGTTCAATGTTGGAAAAAAAAAGATGCTTTAGATTTGCCAGTTTCACTCACTTAGGGAAAACAAGGGCTTGATACAGAACTGAATGGGAGAAGGGACATTTTTGGACAATAGTTATGAACAGGAGAGCCTAGAAAGAAAAGTAACAGCCATGGCCAAGAATGATGGTGCAGCATGATTCTCAATGAAAGAGACCCTGAGCTTTGCAGGTTATGGGGGATCAAGCACAGAGAGCACACAGGGTTGGGCTGAGGTTGCTATTACCTAGTGTGGTCTCAGGTGGTTCAGACACATGTGTAATAGATTCCATAACTGCATGGAAAAAAGAAGAGTGACTTAAGAACTATAAGATGTTAAGCTACAACCCAGTATTTCTTGAATATCAACACATCTCATTCTCTTAAGAATTTGCATCATAATTTTACAGATAGGACAATGGATTTAGAGAGGAAAAAAGAATCAGGAGGAAATTCCTATTCTATAATACCAGTCCTAATATTTATGTTTTAACTGCCACTAACAGGCATATTGATGTTATCATGTCTCAAGCTTTAGATAGCAGTAGAAAAACAGGAATTTATTTCTGTATTCTGAGAGAGTGAATTATTGCTTTAATTTTAAGAATTCTAGAATGTTGGAAGCTATAGCTCTTCAAATCTGTTCCATTGTGGAGCAAGTACCATAGCTTGAACTTCCATGTTCCATTGACATAACAGATACTAATTAAAAATGTGTTGAAAAGTGAATCAAAGCATGAAAACCTTTACCACCTTCTGTCTTTGGCTCCTCTGGCCTGAGGGGTGCTTTGGCAGTGGGATAGACATAATCTGTTTCCGCTGGTGCTACAGGAGAAATAGGAAAAGACTGGTTAGCGGTATGTGGCCCCAAACACGCTGAAATGGACCCCTGTGTTGAATCTGGAAACAGAAGTTAGCTCTCATAAGCAGATACATTCTTGAAAATAATGAATGCTCAGGTAGATGATAAGATGACTACAATTTAGGAAGGCAGAAATGAAGGCAGGAAATGAAGGCAGTAAGCTGTGTGGGAAACACACATGACATACACACTCCACACACTCTAACTGGCAGGGTGTATAGCAATTTCTACCTGAAGCAAATTATATAATTTCATCTCCTAACATATTTTTGTATACGAATTCTAGTAAGAAAAAAGACATAAAGTGAGTCTTTGGAAAGCATGGGGGATGGATCCTTAAAATGGTATGAAAACGAAAAATAGGATGTGCACCCATGTACATATTTACATTTGTAAGAGTGATTAGGGTATTTAAAATAAATTTTTTTATTCAAGGTGAGAGGAAAATAAATAAGGAAATTGTGAAATTTGCATAGCAATACAGCAGACACTAGCACAATGTGTATGACTCTCAAAACTCACTGGATGAGCGCAGCTAAGATGTGAGGAGCAGGTGGCTAAGAAATGTCACAAAGCATGAATAAATCCAAAGATGACTTTGCAATGAGATGGAAAAGCACAAGGTGCTTGACTTCCCATTGGGGAACATTTTTACCTATAGTCTCCTTTGATGTCTCAGTGCTAAATGTAACCGATTCCAGAACATCAGAAACTAGCAAAAAACACAAAATGGTACAGTTGATCAAGGATAGATTGTTGTGAACAATGAATGAATTAAAACAAAGATTTAGAAAAATGCCATACACCTAGTAAGTGCTCAATGTTAAATACTACGATAACAACATCAACATTATTAGCACTAAAAGAAGCTCTAATAACTGAATTGAATTCACAATATTATAACTATTGTAAGTTACCATTAATAACCATATTTTGTGCATTCAACATGACTACCAAAATACCATTTGTCTAATTAAAAGACACCCAAAAGAGATGAAAAGAAATTACAATCCTATGCTAGAAAAAAGTAGGATCCAATGTTTCAAAATAATTGTCAGGAAGTAGAAACAGTATCGCTTACCCTGATTATAAAAATTTGTTTCCAATTTTGAAGGCCAGTATGTTTTGAAGGACTAGCATTGTGTAAGGGGAAGTTTTATAATCTTTACTGAAGTGAGAACTTTCTCCTTCCTCAACGGTCACAATTAAAGTAGCATTCTTTTAGCACAAAATGAGTTTACTATGAAAGAGAACCACAAATTTGTAACTGCTGATGAACAGGACAAAGAAGAAAATCAGTTCTTCTAAGTGATTTTGTTGACCACTTAATCAGATATGATTATGCTCTAAAATGATACAGAGCAAACTCAAAGAGATGAAGTACTTTTATACAAAAAGCAATATTGATATAATGTTTTACTAATTTTTTTTTTTTTTTTTGAGTTGGAGTCTCACTCTGTCGCCCAGACT